AATCCAAATCTTAATTTGCATAATCATATATTTATCACTCATAAAAGTGTTTACATCAGATTAACATTAAGTCATAATCATCTTCGATTGCTGGATATGTAGTATCTTCAAATATAAACCCACCCATGGCAGAGAAGGTAAGACCGCTCAACTATCCGCATAGTATTTTCTTAATGTATAACTTAAATGCCAACCATTTCCTCTTAGAAAGTCCTAAGGCAGCTAGTTCTCGCATATTTTGCTATAATCAATCAAAAACCTAGTCTACAAATTCATTAATTACAACTTATTATTCTGAGCTTCGAAGCCATTCTTTTACTTTTTGCTTCTCGCTCTTCTTTCTTGATTTCAAATTTTGGGAAGTTCGTAAGTAATTGATTTTAGTAAAGTTAATGGATTTTTTAAGACTATCACAACAAAACTGTTTTAGAACCACGACTACGATATTGCAGCTAATAAAATCGTATTCCGAATGTTATGTTTGTCTGAAAAGATCTGAATGTTACTAAAGATTTCTTTTAGAACGATTAAATCACAAACATACGAATCAGCCAAGTAAGATGGAAACCAAGACGGAAGCTTTCTAGCGATAACCAAGTAGAACTTGTATTGTTTCAATTTATAATTATTTTTATTAAAATACTAAGGATAACAAAGTTATCTTTTATTTATGTCTTCTGAAATTGCAAAAATCTCCAAAAATTATTGTTAAAAGTTCATTAAGTGATATACAAGAAATTGGTATCAAAGATGAACTGCAGTAGGAAAATACTCAAGAGACAGTTTGCGAGGATTACAATTGACGTAGCATGGAATTTAATCTTTTTTCTGTATTATCTAGGACTATACTTGAAAAACGTGGGAACAATGCCATACATTCCTTTTAAACTGGCCATTCATATTGAGCTTTGCAACCTCAAGATTAATATCCGTAAATGCTATAAGTGCCAAAGCATTGGTCGTTCAGACATTGCTTTTTTCGACTCCCCGTGCTGAGTTATTGTGCAGAGAAACGATGTAATTTAAGTAGAAGCTCAGAAGAGAAATATAGAAATTTGAATTCAAAATGCTGTCACTATTTTAAGGAGTAAGGTGTTAACAGTAGGAATTCCGGAGTTACAGAAAAGTGTTATTAAGGTAAAAAACATGCAGATTTTAATGCTTGTATATAATAAATAAGAAGGCGGGCGGCTTCCTAATTGATATAATTACTATGAAGTATATATTGCGAAATAATGCATTTAATGATCTGAAATAGGCATTGACTGATTAAACCAAAATACATATTTCACCAAACCATGCATTTGCTGCAGATATCAAAGCGAAGAAGCCGCATTGAAGAAACTTGCTACAGAAATGAATGCCACGGAGCTGCTTTAACGTAAAAAGTTTCAACTTTTGTCCAATAGAAAGCGGATTACACTCGGTTTAGCATATCCATCTTGTCAAAGCCTAGGGCCCCTAGTTTTTAATTTTTTAACAGCCGGTCGCTTTATTTAATAATTATTAGCCTTGCACTACAAGGGCCGGAAGTGGTGCCATTTCATTATGAAAGTACTTAATAGGTGCCACCGTTGTCTCCTATGATGGGCCCTACAGTCACAACCATACCTTCTCCAAGATTCGAACCCGGGCCCATCGCTACGGCAGTCACTAACCACTATGCCAGCTGGACATAAATTGATCTTAATATCTATGAGCACTTGGAATTTTTCATCACTCCAGTATGTGCAAGACTAATTAATTTCATCCTTTCTGTTAATGAAGTGCACAGGCGAATCTTTTGATGAACTTGAAAGCAGCAAAATCTCACTGTGCCACAATAGTTTTAGTAGCCAGATTTAGAATTGGATTTTCTCTTTAATGATCATACTCCTTCTTGGTTAAGATTTTACTTCAGTCTCTTGGCTGAAATTCCAGCATAAAAATGAAGCATATTTGTCAAGAAACTGCGGAATTTCAATCTTTATTCAGGTCAAAATTCTCAAAAATTCATCCATTGATATCATTACAAGTTTTTGACTTAAACAATAGCTTTTATTTTCCTCCCAATTTTTCTTGCTATGGGAGGGAAGTTAAATCGCTGGTCATTTCTTTGATATCTAAATTCAAGGGCCTAAATTAAATTATTAAATGCAAAGGCTCTAAATTTTATTGATGTATTTTTCATAGAAGTACTTAAGCGAATACAGAAATCAGTTTTTAATGCAAAGTGCAAAGTCGAGTAAAATTCTTTGACCCTTGATTATAAGTAAAAAATCTTATGCACATGAAATGGAAAGAGCTGCCGAACCGCGTGTATGATAAACGTTGAGTAGTGTAACGTATTGTGATAGGATGCGAAAAATAAAATGAATAAGCTGCAGACGTTTCTAGCATAAAAAAATTTCGAAACAGTCCGTGGAACTCACTCCAGCTTTCACTGCTATAAAAACATCAAAACGTTGTGGTAAATAATGTTCCTGTAGTTCCTCATTCAAAGTACTACTTACTGATTCTAGGTCTTGTATGCGTCGTTCCTACTATCAGGGTACAGTCAATGCAAAATCTAAGAAGAACATGTTAACTGACTTAAGTAAATAAATGAAAACTTGGGACTCGTTCGGCTGTGTAACGTCACTGAAGCTTGCTCTGGTCGCTTGTAATGGTAATTTAGCGTTTACTTCATTTCTTCATAATTTAGCGTTATGTTAAAAATTCGAATATTTGGAGTTGAATATTTCAGTAATTGTTTACTATACTGAATAAGTGTTAATTGCGAAAATCTTTACCAGTAATTTTTTATTTCACCAAAATCTCCTAAACTCGGTGCAGAATTGGACTAACTGTTTATAAAATTACTTATTTTTGCTTGTTCAAAGAGAATATCTATATTTTAACAAGATGGAAAAGATGGATTCGAAAAGGTGTAGTATAGTAATATTTAAATGTTGCTACAGAAGAAATTCAAATCAAAGCTATTTATTCTGTACCTATGTCCAGTTAACCATTCTATGAATTGTTTTCTACAATTCTGTGATTGTCAGTTTAACCTTTCTATGAATAAATTCAAAATTACATTTTATAGATTTAACAAACGCTACAATCAATTTACCAATATTAATATGTATCTGTTATATGATATTAAGTAGTAGAGAAGAAACATAAATCCATTCATCAAAAATAAGAATTTAATTTGGCTACTAATAAAGTATACGTATTTCTTTTTCACAACATAACTTTCCGTTTCACTTTTGTCTCTCTCCCGTTCATATTTCAATACACCTAATTTAATGGGCCCACCAGCGGCCGAGCGGTAACGTCACTGAACACTGGTAGTTCAGTCCGAGATTCGAATCCTGCGAACGGGCTGGCTGCATGGGCGTTTTCGTGGTTTTCCCGTGTGTAACGTGTATACGAGCCAGTTTCCTTTAGAAAGTCCTCCACGAAGGCATCCCTCCCTTAAGGCAGATAGCCCTCGAGTGCTTTGCCATAATCTAATTAAAAAAAAAAAAAAAAACCAAGCCTAATTGAATGAGTAGAATTTTCTACATAAATTAACAAATTCAGCGTCTGCGAAATTAATTTAGGTAACCCGAAAATTCAAAATTAAACGCACCACTTCTTTTTAAACATTAAATGAAATCAGCTCATGCTATTGTGCTCTATATGTGTGAAATGGAATGCTTTGCTGATTATTATTTGATTTGCTTGCATTATTGGCGCATAATGCCATCATCTAGCGGGAAACAGCCATAATGTTAGAATAAATTTAATAATATCCGTGACAGAAAAAAGGCAAATTAATTTTCAAAGAAAGTGTAGAGTTACTTTCTGCTTAAATCAGTGGAGAAATCTATGCTACACAAAATTAGGCCAAAATCGCAGATTTCCTTTGCTCCTGATTAACTTTTTCTGGCACGCTGCCTTTAAAAGTTGGAGTTTTGATTTTAAAAAAAGTTATGCAGTCTAATTAGGCCTAGAGAAGTACACCAGTAAAATTTTGTGAAGATAGCACTTATCGTTAAATTCTGTGGGTGTGCCCAAAGTGGGCACACTGATTGAATAGAGCTTCGAAAAGAGTGCTGAAACGAGCATTGTTGTCAATGAATTGACCGGTGAAATGCGGAGAAACAAAGAATACAGACTCTGAGTTGTCCTAGATTATCGGTGAGCTCGCGCTGGGCACACGTAGGGACGTAGGGTTCGCCGTTTGATTTTATGCAAGATTTCAAGTTAAAAATTTAAAACTAATATAGAATAAGGAGATTAGCATACAGCCAAAAAAATAACATAGAAATTTCTTTTTAAACAATTCCTCTTATACCCTAAAAAAAAAACCTAGAAGATTTCTTTGAAAGATGAGGGTCTTAAAAAACTAAACTGTTCCTGTTTGCCTTCGAAATCGATAGTCTTACTAAAATGTGCGCCAAACGCAAGGTTGTTGCTTTTCCTAATTTTATGTGTTACTTTGGAGTGTTTCTCTTTTGTGTTTTTGGTTTGTTCATGTTATTTTGAGGTGAGAGATTTTCAGTGACGGCATAGCCAATAAGGAGCGAGAATGAACTTTCGTTTATTTACCCAAGTGCTAACCTGTTTTTCTACGGATATTGCAGTCAGTTTGCGAGTAATAGCGCAAAAGTTTTCTGCTCTAAAACTAGCTACCTGCTAGAACTTCTCTGCTGCTAAGTATAATGAAATTATCAAAAATAATTCGTGGCAAGCATAAAACAAAAGATCTGAACGATTGTTTTATGTTATTCAACGCCGCTAAGTTTAAATAACCAAGCTCTTCTGAGATGGTAGTCAACTTTGAAAGGTTTTTCTGCTTCATATATCGTACACTCTTAATTTTTATGTCAATATTTTAAAAAATTTAAGAAAATTTTCATCTTTGTTATCAGCGTGTTTTATTTTTATCTCGAAGATATATTATTTCATTTGCCCGCTCAATTATTTAACTGTAACCGCAAGGCGCGATAACGCGTTTCATAGCGATTGTGCAATACTTTCGTCAGTCTACCGCTGTATCTGAAATGCAGTAAGTCGATTTAGGTTGATCCGTGTAAATTTAAATTTAATGTAATGTAACGAAACCGAGCTACTGATGATTCATCGTGAATGGCTGCTTGTACTTAATTCGGATATACATTGTTTCGACAAAGTTCTGGATTCATGTACGTAATTTGTGTTCTAATGATTTGGTTTGTTTTTGTAAACAAGAAATGACGTTGCTCGTACATGTTTGCGGTTTTGTGTCAAACGAAATACGGCGATGCAGTGGCATTAAAGTCGATAAATTGAATGAAATGTAGCAAAATTTTTTGCATGTATTTTAAGTTGTAAGAATATTTTTTATCAGATATTGATAGTCTTTGATGCAAATTTTAGTTCAAACATCGAACGTATCGTATATATGAAATAAAGAAATGTAATAATCTAAAATAAAATTATGTAAAATAAGTTTTAATACTATTTACTGCTGGTGTTTGTTGGATATCATATGCTAAATGTTGTGAATCATTATTTTCTAAAAATTAGAGGGATGTTTAATAGCGTAAACTTATACGAATGCATAACAAAAATCCATGGTAATGCATCATTTTAAGTTTTATGCTAGTAATTTAAATTCATTTTTAAATACTTCGTCTGAATTATCGCACTGATTATCAGGTAGTTCCTGAACTCTAAAGCTACCAGTTAATTTTTTAATGTATGTAAAAACAAATTAAGCTATAAATATCATTTATAGGTTACTTTGGATTGGGTGAACTTGCTTAACAAAGTGTGACATTTCGCATATTTACTTTTGATATGCTATGTGGGGCTATGTGTTTGTGAGTAATCCACATTCTTAATAATCTAGTAGATTTGGTAGTAATCCACATTGTGTCATGTTATCTGAGTGTTCTTAATGTTCTTGTAGATTTGGTACTTCAGAGTAATGTAAAACTGTACAAACTATTTATTTTTTAATTCCATGGATCGTCAAAATGTGATCTTAGATTTTTAACTTAAAAACCATTTAAAGTCTTTGTAAAGCTATGAATTCTATATACAAAAATTTATTAATACATGCAGAATTAAGATGAATGACAAGAAGGCAAAGTTTAAGATTTTTGTTATTAGAAGATGAAATTATTATATATTTAACCAAACAAGCATCTGATTTTGGAGCTCTTTTCCAAAATAATTTATAGATATCAAAGCTGTGCTATTTGTAAGATATTTTTTTTAGAAACAAAACATCTCAATATTGAAATAAATATCTATTCAAGTAAAATATAACAGTATATTTACTTCAACAAAGTTGAACATTTTATTAAAAAGATTAACATTTGGAAAAATATCAGGAAAATAAATCTTGTTATGTTCCAAATGGAATTACCATCAGTCGGAAAAGAATCGGTCATGTTTCAGGCGGTTAATAAATGAGAGCAGTTAAGTAAATGAGATAAATGGTACTAATAATGGTGATTTGATCAAAAGGGATTATATAATTATTTTTTGCTGAATTTTCCATTTCTAAGTTTGATCCTGTGCAGATGAACAAAGGAATTTACTTGCTATAGCAAAACACCTAAATCATGCTATAGCAAAATGCCTAAAAATCATGAACAAGAACAAGTTCATTCATAGTTGACTGCTGTGAAGAACTTTTGGTAAAAATATATTTAATGGGACCCCCTTGGTAAAAATTGGTGACTAGCCAGCAAGGCACAATTTCATGATGGCCGCTACACAAAACCAAAATAACAAGTCAAAGAATTGCACAAACTTGGCATTGTGCTCTCACTTGACTTCGTCCATGTACACATCGTTCTATTTTCACTTAAAAATCGAAGGAGCACCCAATTCTACACTAGAGCAAAACACATAGAATTTCAATAAACTGTATTTTAAATCAAATAACATAAAAAAGCACTACGCAATACACAAAGGAAATATCCACTTATTTAGAAATTTCTGTATCTTCTGTCTGTGGCATACAGAATTCCTTAACAACATCCAAAAACTTTCCTCAAACCATGTTCTCTTTCTAGCGAAATGCTTTATATATTTTTAAGCATTTGAACCTTTCTTTCGACAAAGCTGGCTAAATAATCTTTTTCGTTCAACCATGCGCATTTCTTTCGTACAAACAGGACACTTATAATTCCATTGAATTACATCTAACAAAGTTTCTTTTTTTCTGTCCTCAACTACTCAGGTTACCATAATTGAAACAACAACTTGGCGATAAATGAAACAACAACTTTCTGATAATCCAAGGGCACCCTAAAATGTAGGTGAACTGAACTTTTTATTACAACTATAAAATCAGTTTTTTAAACATTTTGATTACTTGTTTTTTTAGTTTCAGCAGTGGTAAAAGTTTACAATTGGATGCCCCTTGTTTTTTGGTGATTCTTTTTTGACGCCAAGATAGGCACTAGGAAGGCACAATTTCAAGAAGGCCGCTACACAAAACCATTTGCACAAACTCTGTGTCCATGTACACATCGATTTGTTTTCACTTAAAAAAACATCCTAGAATTGTGCAAACTAGGCATTGCGCGCTGCCTTAAATTTGTCCATGTACACATCAATCTATTTTCATTTAAATAAAATCAGGGAGCTAAAACAGAATTAAAACTATCATGGTAACCAGAAGTGAAATTTCATGGGCAAAATTAAAAAAAAAAAAAAAAAAAAAAATATGTTGCTAATCGAAGGGGCACCCAATTCTACAGCCTCAGCGGTTATTAGAAATGTACTTTTGGCATTATTTTAAAATTTATCTGTGATAATATAAACTCGCATGTGTGTACAACACACACATGGATTTACATGCTTTAATCATTTAATTAATCGGTTGATGTTTACATTATGGTAACTTGGCGTTTTTTTGGCGAAAATTTGGCGACCAACTCTCCTACAGCAATCCTCTATTTTTTTTTCCACGCCGCCATTTTGTCTTCACGAAGTAAAGACATGTTTCTTTTCTTCTTATCTACTGAACACTTCTTCTAACAATCTACTAGCCAAATTACACTTATGCTCAGTGTCAGTAGCTACACCATCGATGATGATTGCTATCCAGGGAGCACTTCAAGTTCTAAAATCTAACATCTAGCTGAAATGCTTACTATCATTTCCTGATACGTCTCCATCATCTAAAAAGAGGCCTTTTCTTCACTATTATTACACTGTTAGACACAAGATACTATTATTACACAAGAATCACATCATAAATACAAAAAACTAACTACTAAACTACTATTTACACTGTTCATTACAAGAATCACATCATAAATACAAAATTACTAAACTACTATTTACACTGTTCATTACAAGAATCACATCATAAATACAAAATTAAGGGTTGATCTTTACATTACGGTAACTTGGCGATTTTTTGGCGACCAACTCCCCTACAGCAACCCTCTATTTTTTTTTCCACGCCGCCATTTTGTCTTCACGAAGTAAAGACATGTTTCTTTTCTTTTTATCTACTGAACACTTCTTCTAACAATCTACTAGCCAAATTACACTTATGCTAGAAATTTTATCTAACAAAACTGCTTAATCATGACAAATATTCACTGCAAAATTGGGAAAAAGTGCACAATACCATACTCCTTACGTGTTTTTCAAAATAACACATAAACCATGTACACGCCAACTTATTTTTACTTAAAAAAACATCCCAGAATTGCACAAAAATGGCATTGCGCACACTCTTCACTATATCCATGTACACTGCTTTTTTTCTCATAATTAGAAAAATTTCACGAAAATACATGACAATTTTCTCAATCTTTAAACCCGGTAAAAAGAACATATATGAAATTACCCTGATCGCGAAAAGTATTTACCCTTTCCAAATATGAACATTTCCACATATAAAATAATAAAATATCCAAAAACTTTTACCTCTAAATCATCTATTACATTATACACGTCACCAAAGAATTCATACCGCAACCATTACAAATACTTATTGTCAGATATTAAATTATTTCCATGCACGTTACTTCAACTAAAACGTATACCAAATTCTACAAACATAAAATTCACAAAATGACTATCATTTAATTAAAATATAATTAATTCAGAAACACTACTTAAAATATAATGAGCACATACATTAAATTAATACATACATAAATACCCATTTCGAATTCACTTTAGTTACGGCCATGGGATCCAAAAATTCACGAACACTGTTTCACACAAACACAGAATAAAGCCAAATACAAAATTTCCAGATTTTTTCCCGATTTCCCCCCTTTTCCGATTAAAGAAACCGTAATTCGTCCATTAATATCACATGACATATCCCATGATCTCTCATTTCCCTCACACAAAATAATGCGTAATCAGAACTGAGTACTGCTCACATTATTACCAAAGTGCCAGGTAGTAACCTTTATCGCTTCCAAAATGTCGCCAAACTACCAGTTACCATATTGTAAAGATCAACCAATTAATCATGTTCTTCCCCAAGTTTATTTTTTTATAGTGAATTTTATGAAATTGTGTTTATAAAATGTATTTTATTACTTACGGTAACTATATGATCTGTAAAAATTGCTAAACAGACATTTTTTGCCAAAGCTGTCAGTGAGTTAGTAACTTATCTGGCAGTGCAGGTAATCAGAAAGCATTTCTTTCTTTCAGATATTTTGCATGCTTTTCTGTGATTACTATGTATTTTCAATTAGGATTTTGAATATTATGCTATGATTGTATCGTACTGTTTTTTGGGATTGAATCCCAAAAATTACTCTGATTGTCAATGTGTTAAAAAAGAATGAGTTAATCTGAAATGCAGAATTTTGAAACAGATGTTCCTATGCATTTGTTTTGTTTGTTAAGAAATCATGCTAGAAATTTGTATGTAAATATTGAAACATTATGGTTTCAAATAGAAACTTTACCCATATTCGTCAATTAAAATTTAAGAAATAGAATTTGTTTAATTTCTTTAGGTATGGTACTTTTAAAAGATTTGTAGTAATTTAATTTGACATTAAGATTCATAATTTAGCTTTCATATTGCATAGCAAAATAAGTAATTTTAAAGCTATAAAAGCACTACTTTAAATTTTTTGAATATTATGTTTTATATAATTTGTATTTAATTTGTAATTACATCATCTAATAGTATTTTGAACAAGCTGTTAGGATAATTAAAAGAAAAAAAAAATATTTAATCCTATTTTATACCTTAACAGTCTTACTTTCCCTTCTAAAGTGGGAGTCACCTGTTTAAACTTTTGTTGGTGAATAATTATATGTTAAATCTGTACATGGTTACCAGATTGATTTAAAATGTTGTGATGTAGATTTTGATGACCACGTTTATTTGGTGTAAATAAACTTGGTTGGAGTCCAGGCTACTTTCCTTTACCAGTGCCACTTAACTGTGAAATAAAAATGCCATGTTTGATTTTAATTGCTGTTAATTAGTATTTTTAGCTGCAGGTATCTAATTTTATTCTTTCTTTGCAGGCAAGTAATTTTAAAACAACCAATCATGATAAGCCGGACAAATTTGAAGCAACAGCTCATGCGAGAGCAGATGCAGCAGTTGGAGAAAAAAGAACGAGAACAACTGTCAAGCTCTGTTCCTACACACACATCTAGTGCAATCAGAGTTCCATTGTATGGAGCACCTATGCCTGTTCAAGTTCCTAAACAAGTCTTGATGGTATTAAAGCTTTTTAAAACTGCATTGGGTTTTAAAGTTAACATAATTTTCAGTTTATATTACACAGTTTATTTGCAGTCGACAAATAGAATATTAATTTGAGAACATTTCTTATTTATACTGATTTAAGCAATATAATACAGGGGTGATTTAGCTTTTGAAATATTTATACTAGTAATATTTCAAAAGCTAGCTGTAACTTTCTGTACTGTAGCTGTAACTTTCATATTTCCAAATGATCTATCACTTAGTTTCAATCTTAAAGGCAGTAACTAATATCTTTAGTGTTGCCAATATGAATTCACTTGTGCTTATAAATAATACTTTCACAGCTCTTCAGAACATTTTTTGTCAATCGAAAAGATAGCTGTGTTTTAATTTGGGGGGGATATCTAGTTTGTTGTTTGGGGGAACGGGAAAATTAAGTTTTAAAACTTATTTAAGGAAAATTGCCCTAGTTATTACTTTATATAGCTAGTTAGAAAATAATTGTCATACAAGAATTTATGAAGTTATTTTTAAGAAGTGAAATATAATTAATTTTAAGTTTTCTTAAAAATATTTAATTTTCTGTCATCTTTTATTGGAAATTACTTTCAAATCCCAGTCGAGGTTAGTTAAAATGGTCTGTCAGCAATTAAATGCTACCATTGATTAAAAGTTTCCTAGTATTTATAAGTTATGCAGTTGATGCTTGTTGTTTTGGAAGTCCAGTGACAAAAGCCCTTAATGTTCCGCCATTGATGGTATGTAATTTTTGCATTTCATATCGATGATATATTATTTTTATATCTCATATGTCAGCTGGCTAAACTCGTTTATTACAATACTGCATTTAAATTCTTCTCTACCCTCCACCTAGAGCTGAATGAATGCATTCTTAAATATGTATTTAACTATTAGTTTCTATATGGCTGATTTTAATATGTATTAATGTAAAGATGGTTGCAATTTTCACAGTACAGTGCATGGTAGAATGTAAATGTAGAAACACATTAAGCTATCATTAACATGGAAAATTGAAAGTCACTGATATTTTACAAGCAGTATGTTTGATGTTTAAGTAATGTATTTAAATGAATGCCACTGTTTGTAATAGATGCATCACAGCAGCATTGGATTTCATTTACATGGAGATTCATCTGATTTGTTTGCCAGAATCACCATCATTGTTGCAAAAACACAGTATAATGATAATTTTCCAAAATTCATGCCAGTCTTTTCGACATCATTGTGATACATGTATGCAATAATGGTTGGTTGTTTTGACAGTTCTTGAAAATATTCATGAATAAAATGACTTAGCATTGCCGGTGTTCTTTGTACTTATTGACTGCATTCCTGTGTTCATGCTTCTTATTCCACTACCATGCATCATATTAAAAAATTGTTCGATTTACTGTATTTTATCACCATTTAAAATTTTTATCATCTTTCCTGTTACGCCCTGTATATTCCAATGCTGTACACATATACAATATGCGTGCAAAGCCTTTAATACCATCTTTGGTAATTACCAAAGCCTCTAAGACAGGTTTCTCAATGAGGGAGAAATTTCATAGTTTCCGGGTGAAATGTGGTCAGACTTTTATTTAGCTGTTAAATGTTTAGTTTTAGTGTATGATTATAAAAAAACACAAGTTTAAGTATTTATTCAAGTTTTGGTAAATATCAGCATTTTCTGTTATTTTTGTTGTTTAATTTTTAAAACATGTAAAAAGTAACCTAGATCTAAATGTATATATGTGTATGTGTGTATTTTTCAAGTTTTGAAAAATGGGTGATGATCTTTTAATAATGAAGAAAGGGGTGCTTAGGGCAAAACAGATTGAGAGTACTTGGGTGAAAATTTTGTATGTGAAAAGGGTATGTACAAGGTGTTGATCTTGATGTAAAAAGGCAAGAAATTAAATATCATCCATTTGGGGTATCATTTTACTTTTTAAGGGAAGAAAATGAAGAGACACTTGAGCTCATTTTTTATGGTGAAATTCACCTCTGCAGTAGTTTTAATTTTGTATGTACTAAAATGGATATGCAAAGCAACATAAAAACTTAAAAACCATTTTACTGATTTAAAAATGCTAAAAATCTAGTTTGGACTCGGTATGTGTCTCAGTTTAACAAGTATCTTTTACTGACATGAAATTCGGCTACTGGTCTTTCCATTTTCATATTAAGTTATACTGCTCTGTCTCATGGTCATCAGTCAAGTAAATAAATTTACTCTTGCCATTCATACTGGAGATCTTTAATTTATCTTTTAGAGTGGGACATTACAAGTTAAATAACTAAGTATTTAAAAGTAATGTATGTATTCCTTAATAACTCATCTTTTATTTTTAATAATATATTCAGGCCCTCCACGACTGGGCAATACTGAGAGTGGTCAAATTGTGTAAATGGGCTAGTAGCATGTATGTTTTTATGGTTTTCTACATGTCTAATGAGAAAGTTAGCTAACTTCTCTTAAAATTTCCTAAGGATCCCTTCCGCAGGCAGATAAGCTTAATGTACTTTATCATAATCTAAATAATCCAATCCATATAATATGATGTTCAATTTGATATTATTTATCACTTATCTAATTTTGTATATATGAGCATTTATAACATTAGTGTAATTAATAAGACTCTTATTATGTAAAAAGTACACAATATTTATAACTAATGAGATTTGTATGTATTATTGAAGAATTGTTTTCCTGCTGCTTAACAAACAGTTTGGTGCCTTTTATTTTTATTAAAGCAATATTATTGTTCTTTTAGGTCAAAAGTAAATTAGAAAATCCAACACCTTACCATGTTCGGGAAAGCCAACAGCGTCAGGTCAGGGAATATTTGTCACAGTCTCACCATGGTTACCGAACTACCAGTTTACCAACCTCTCCCCCAGTCGTAAACAGTGTAGATCCTAGCCCTACAAGTGACTTTTCTGCTGCACTGAGCAGCACAGCCGCCAGTCCAGGTGAAGTAAGTACTTCAGATATATTTTTATGTGTCCTCTTCTGTTATTGTGACTGGATTCAGAAGTGAATGTATGTATACATGTGTATACAAGGGCTGTTCAGAAAGTATCGAGACTGAATTTATTCTATTTATTCCAGAAAACCCCTAGCAGTGGGACTGTGCGCATCGTGTACGCGCATGTTTCACCTCGTTTCACAAAAACTGGCAGATCTGTACAGCGCTCCGTTTAGTCACACTGACTTCTTAGTGTTTGTGTGCGTTTGTCGAAAACAGAAAATGTCTGAAAACACAAAGCAGCGAATCTGTATCAATTTTTGCTTTAAGCTCGCTAAAACAGGCACTGAAACCTACGAGATGATAAAAACAGCATTTGGAAAATGAGGCGATGAGTCATGCTCGGATTTTTGAGTGGTTCCGGCGATTCGAGTAGGACCGGAAATCAGTGGATAGTGATCCCTGTTCTGGACGCCCGTCCACCTCTCACAATGAGGTCAAGATTGCACAAGTGCAGGCTGTGGTGCGCTCTGATCGTTGTTTAGCAGTTGGAGAAATTGCACAAGAGTGTGGTGTTTCCATAGGATCATGTGATGAAATTTTGAGAAAGGACTTGAACATGCGCTGAGTGTCTCCAAAGCTTGTGCCGCGTCTCTTCACTGAGGATCAGCAATTCCAACGACTGGCAATTTCATCTGGTTTGTTTCAAAGTGCAAGCGATCTCATCAGAGTCTCATCGGCAATCTCATTGGAGTTCATGAAGCTCATCACTAAGGATAAGTATAATTAGTGGATTTACGGATGCGATCCCGAAACAAAGCAGCAGTCGTCACAATGGAAAAGCCCCGGGTCTCCTCGGCCAAAGAAAGCATGGCAGGTGCAAAGCCAGATCAAAGTTATGTTGTTTGTGTTTTTCGATGCAGATGGAATTGTTCATCATGAGTACGCTCCCCAGGGCCAGACAGTGAACAAGGAATTCTACTTGGACGTCATGAGGAGATTAAGAGAGGCTGCTCGCAGAAAACGACCGGTGTTGTGGGCGTCGTCTCGCTGGATGCTTCATCATGATGGAGCCCCAGCGCACACCAGCAATCTTGTGCAGCAGTTCCTGTCAAAACATGGAACAATCCAAGTAGCACATCCTCCCTGTTCGCCGGACATGTCACTTGCAGATTTCTTCCTCTTTTCCAAGATCAAGAACACCTTAAAAGGACACCGGTTTCAGGACATTGAGACCATAAAACAGAATTCGACACAGCAGCTTCAGGCCATTCCAAAGTCGGAGTTCCAGAAATGTTTCGAGGACTGGAAACATCGTTGGGCCAAGTTTGTTACTGCCAGTGGAGCATATTTTGAAGGAAATTGACTCAAAACCTGTTTTGCATAATAAAATCAGTCTCGATACTTTCTGAACAGCGCTCGTATATGTGTGTGTATACACTTTCATACATACCTTCATACATATATACATGCATATGTGAACACGTATATCTGTACATGCATGCATACATTTCTGAGTCTTGTCCCAGTAACAGAAGAGTACCTTTTTATGATATTAGGGTTTGTATTTATTGTGTCAGTGTAACGTGATGTATAAATTTTACTACAGAGACATCGACAAATATATAAATCTTAATTATGAGCAGTTTATATGTAGAGAAAAGATAATTTTGCGTTGAGAAAGTGCATGTAGTCAAGTCAACGGATAGTACTGCACTGTATAAAAAGCAATGTGTACCCTGAAAAGTACCAAGGCAGTGCTAAGTGTAATGAAATGAATTTATGGGTCTATTATATAAACTGGCAGCCAGTGTAAATACGTTGTAGTTTGCATACGTGAATGAGGACTGCTTCATTGGTCACATTATTTAGCAGCAGTGTTAAGGCAGCAGTGAATGAGCATGTTTAGTGTATGATCATGTTATTTTTCGTGCCTGAGTGAGTACAACAGTGAATTTGTGTCAAATGGTATGCGAAACAGGAACTTTCAATCTCTGAAACTATTATTATGATGTACAAATAAAGGCATGGTACAAATTATTCAGAAATGTCCTGAAATTTATCAAAAGTAATCCATATTTAGAAGACTAGCTTCTAAGAGAGCACCAGAAAATGTTGAAGCCAGGATCCAGAACACTTGGAGCAAATGAGCTTAGACTAACTAAACTAAGAATGGATTCAAATATGCCCAGCTGAGCAGTCCAAGATTCCAAATCTTAACGAACTGGTTTCTGCTTGAGAATTGTCATGTTTTTCCTCATGTGTAACATGAACCGGTTTCCTTTAGAAGCATATCAGTGAAGTTATGCCTTCCCATAGACAGCCCTCGTCATGTGCTTTGCCATAACGCTGTAAACGGGCTAATAAGCAATGGATTTGAATACTTGAATTGTTGAAGGTTGACGAATAGGTTGGTTTGGTTCAGTTTATTGAATTGTGGCAAAGCACGCATAGACTTTCTGCCTAAGGGGGGATGCCTTTGTGGAGGACTTTCTAAGGAAAACTGGCTTGTATACACATACACATGGAGAAAACCATAAAATTGCCCATGCTGCCTGCCTGTTCACCTGCAATCAAACCCAGGTTAGAACTACCAGCATTCAGTGACCTTTATCGTTCGGCAGTTGGTGGGCACTGACAAATGGGAATGAAAAGACCCATAACCTTTTTTCCTTCTCTTACACAAATTTAATCTGAACTTACCCCTTACCCTACAAAAATGTTTTTTCAATCTGCTCCAAGTGTTTCTAAAAATTCCTTTTACATTCCAATTATTCTTTTGTGCACTTGCTTTCAATGCACAAATGTACTTAGCCCATTCTAAGGATGCTCTGTTATTTTTAAGCACAGCCATGTTTTTATTGTCCATCATCCAACTATGTACTGAAGGAGTTCTTGTTGTGCATAGCTGTGACTATGCAAAACGAGTACTCTTAAACGCATTTTGTTTGTGAAAGAAAAAGGACATCCATTGTATCTTTAGTTATGTCTTTTGGTACAATTTTTCTTTCCAAAAATTGTACCAAAAGTCTTTCTGTTGTAGGAAAGAAACATGCAAGGGAAAATGGTATAAAGTATTTTACACTACTAGAAATAAAGGAGCCTTCTTACTTTGTTCAGAAATATTACTAACTGGAAGAGAAAACTTTGTTTCAGCCATGATTTTGGGCTAGAAGATCCCTTGTAGTGATGATTGTTTTGTGTCTAGCCCTGCTTCCATTCTATCCAATAGCAGAAGAGTGGTGATAAGATGTGTCATCATTAGTATAATAGTATTTAGTGCATCATTAGTCTGTCCTTGACTTCATGTAGTACCTGAGATTGTGGCTGTATAAAATCCTGGTTACTTAGAAATCATTTGTCTATAAATATGGAATCAGTATTAATTTTGAAAAACACGCTATAGTTGCTATTTAAGAATTACACCTGTGATAAGAGTTTAAATTATTTTTTATATAAATAAGTTTTTATGTAATCAAGCAAGCCATGTTACAGCTTATTTAGTGAGTCACATGCAGATTAGAAACCTTAATTTAGATTGCCTGACTGAAGACTGAAAAGAAAATAAAAAGCATGAATTTTATATAAATTTCTGAAATGTAGAAGCTGACCATATACACAAAAAGGCTGTACACAAGTGTAGAAACAAAAAAGAAAAATGGGTGACTAATGGGCAGACAAGTGACCTGGATGGCAAATATTAAGATTTAAATTTTTTTTCATCGATTGATGAAAATATTTGAGCTTCAAGAACAACTGTTTTCCAAATAGATTCAACAAATTGTTATTTTTTATAACATTCATTTCTCAAAACTATCACTAAGTGCTTTTCGAATCTGTACTTTCAGTTGAGATCGCAAACAGTTTTCTTTCCCTCCCTTATTACTTAAGAAAGAGGTCTGATGCTTTCAAATGACATCATTAATTTTTCGCAAAGAATTTAGATATACTGTTTTATTCCCCCCAAAGTTATTTACAAAAAGATCCTCATTTAGCAGTTGAGAGGACATACTCTCATCTGTACACAAATTCAACAATACTGTCTACAGGAAACTCCTGGAATTACAGCTAATTACCCATTATCTTGATTCCAGATGACAGGCTATAGCTGTAGGTTATTTGCATAACAAGCTGTGGGAATTTTTGAAATTGAGAAAAGGTTAAAACTGTCTGTCCAGTATCTCTTCCATGGAAAGGATACTCTGCTAAGAAAAAGGTGCAGGTTCTGTTGAATAATATTTACAGACAGAAAAAGAAAGAGTTGTTTAAAGGGTCACAAGTGCACTTCCCTTCATCCTGCTGGCTGCAATTTGCAAGGATCGATGTTTTATGGTCTAAGAACAAGCTGATAACCTAAGAACTCAAAACATAAGTTTCTCAAATTTTGACTCAATTTGACTTTTTACACTTGCTATGTTCTGAAAATTAGATTTTGGCTGGTCTTATTTAGATCCTCAAAATCTTGAAGAATTTTGAGTAAGGTCATACTCTGTGATATCAAAATGGCCTATGGATAAATTAATTTTTGAGGGGATGCATTCCACAGTCAGGAAAAAAAGAGAATGTCGTAAATCAATAACCATGTTAAGATTTGATGGACAAAACAACCAAGATCTCTTAATTTTATATGGTTCATATAGCATCACAAAGACAAATTGTCATTTTACTAAAGGAAGGCGCAAGACAATATTCTGTATGCAAGTGAATTTCCTTTCTTTTTTTTAAACCAAATTTTCTTTATCCTTTCTGTCTCTTTACCTAAACTTCACTTTATTTTGTTAGAGGGCCAACTTGATGTTGAGAATCTGTAGTAAAAATGATGTCTTTAATATTAAAATAAGGGATATTCATCAATTTAATGTCAACCACAAAATATTTTTTTGTGTCCTAGAAACAAGCAATACAATGTTTTAAATATTAGTGAGTTAAATCATTTAGTATGCTGTGCTTGTTAAACTAAGAAACAATGGCTCCATAGTTATTGAATAGTTGATTTCTATATCTGTGAAACTGTATGTTATAACTATTCCAATCCACCTGATCCAGCTGAATTTGTATAATTATTTATTTTAGCATCTTTTTTCAACTTCTGTTCATTAAGATGATATTTACATTACTAAAGAAAATAAGAAATGAATAAGTACCAAATGACAAAAAATCTCTTAACTGGTACTTATCAGTTTACTTTCAGGTACAAAACATTTTTGTGTTGCACAGGAACAGGCAGTACAATGTTTTAAATGTTAGTGAGTTAAATCATCTAGTATACCAGCCACTCTTGTTAAACTAAGAAACGATGGTTCCATAGTTATTGAATAGTTGGTTTGCTTTCTATATCTGTGCAATTGTATGATGTAAGTATTCAAATCTAGCTAATTATTTTAGCCTCTTTCTTCAACTTCTTCTCATTAAGATGATATGTTATTAAAGAAAGTAAGAATAACTACCAAGTAAAAAATATCATGATTGAATAAAGGCAGTCATGCTACTTGGAGTTAATTCCATTATACAGATATCTGAGACCCTTCATTTAAGTAGTTAGCACTGAAAGAAAAACACTTATTATTAGTCTTTTGACATATGAGTATACTACTGATTATCCATTGGTATAGAAGACCATAGCTAGCATGATTTTTTTATTTAGTAAGCTTTCATACTCTTTGAACATCAAATCTGGATTTGGAACTACTCTTATATGTGCTCTCAAGTCGCCAAATGCAGCAACAAATTTCTCGCCAAACAGTTTTGGTGAGAAACTCCACGGTGCCATATTACCTATCTAAATTTTTTGTTTACATTTTGAACTTTAAGCCTAAAATGTCTCCAAAAACGCGGTTTTCGCACATGCAAAAATTACATTTTAAACACACAATTTAAGCTAAAATTCCGAAACAAAAACAGAAAATGTAGATAGCAAAAACGTAAAGTTTCTAACCAAAAATATTTGACAAGAATCCATGTACACAGCAATATCTTAAAATAAATCTACGAATTGCACAATATAGACAACGAACGAATCTACAAACTACGCACACCTTGCTTTAACAAATTAACATAACAACAATAAATTTCAAAGAATACCATGTACACAGCACCTGTTTAAACTTAAAAAAACATCTACGAATTGCACAATCTAGGCATTGCACACAAATCAACAAAATAAACTAAAATTACAAATTCAAAAACAACGATAAGAACAGAAATTCATAGTAGAAAAACAATTAACATAACATTCTACAAAATAAGAACAGTAAAATAAAATGCACTTACCATAATACATTCGTTAATAAAATTTCGCCAGTCGCACAACGTCGGTGAACAAAAGTGCCACCATTTTGCTATATCGCATGTCTTTCTGTGATTCAAAATTTCAAAAGTAATGATAAAAACTTCCTCCAAAGTTAACTTGCTACACGAAAACCACGATCCAAATCTTAAATTTCGCTGACAGCCACATACTTTACCAGCAAGCATTTGATTGCAAATCCACACAAGAAGTGTCAGAAATGCCCTTCTTCGTCTGAGTTCTTATAGCAGCTCCACATTTTGCACTCCATTCTAAAAATACACTTTGATCCACACCCGTAAACAAGACTCGTTAACAACTCTAACATCGTACCTTTTAATACTAAATTTACTTTATACCCACGACACTGCAGCAAAAGAGTTAAGTTTCAACGTCAAAAGGGTTGCCATACAAACAGCATCGTCCACCAAACCATTCCACAACACGGAATCATGCCAAAAACCAGCGCAGAATACAGATCGGCACATTTGGTGATCTTAGGGCGCATATAAGAGTAGAGCCGTGGATTTTTGGAAATGCATTTTTCTAATCATGCAACATAGAATTGATTTATATAATTATTCCAATCAACTAAGTGCAGTAATTTCTTTTTTCTATGTTTATGTTTAATAGAGTTACAAAGTTCATCACTTTTGATCTTTTGTCATTATTGATGGACTGAGGGCATAAATCATTTTCATGTGGCTAAGGGAGAAATTCCAAAGAAGTTTTTATTTATATATGTATATATAAAAAAAATAATCTAAAAACCTACTTCACAGTAAATGTTTGGAAAGGGATTTTTCTTTTCTTCTCTTCTTTTCTTTCTTTGCATTTTTTTTTAAGAACAAGTATCATGTATTTAGAAAATAACACTTAACAGAATATTTCATTTATGATCTGAAATCAAAATACTGAAATATTCATTGAATAGTTTATATGTATATATAAAATTTAAGATATAAAAAATATGAAGGAAAACTATCAACAAATTACTGACTTAATTGACGATATACTATCTTTTAATTTAAATAAAGCTTTCTTCAAAAATCTACTGCATCAGTTGCATCATCATTTTTATCCACATTGCTGTAAATGCTTGCCAAGTCGCTGTTCAGGATTGAAACAAAGGACCCAAGCTTATAAGTAACTCTGCTTAATATGCATCACTTTTTTCCCATGCTGTTGCTTCATAAACATGTGATTAACTGCTCTGCATTTTCCTGTAATAATGTAATCTACATATAAAAATCTGTTGGGGAGGGCAGATTGCATTCATTGTGCTTTGTGAGTCAAGAAGCTGTGTCTTAATAGATCTGATGTTAAGTAATAAAGATGTGTTTTGATTATCCAGGTATTTGTGGTTTTTCCAACATTATATCCAGTCATCAACACAACACTTTCAGGCTATCTGCTATAACTGTCCCCACCACAACTGTGATATAACTGTTCTGCTATTGTATTATCCAAAATTATCATACATTATATATATATTTTTTTACAGTTGGAAGAATTCTGGCAGGACTTCCAGAATTTCAATTCTTGTACAGATTCAGTTGCAGACAATCTTCTAGATCCTAGTCTTACAGGACCAATAACAACTGTAAGTATAACTGTATATCTATTTTTATTTTCTTGTTAAAAAATTATGCCACAGTACTCTTGTCAGATCTCTTCTATTATAGAACTATACAGTTATAAAAATTCCTAAGGGTAAGAAATAAAAAATATGTCGTTTAATTATTTCAGTGAGCACAAATGTAAGATAATTCAAGGGTGGTTAACTGGAAACTGTGACAGCTAAGCTCCGTCCAAATGCATTTTTGTCTGTATTCTTGCATTTTGACATATGTTCATATAATTAATAATAAAACTATGACTAGTACTGTAGTCGTGTTGGCACATGGATCCTTCTTCTTTAAATTGTGTGACATTTGTTGTCTTTTAATGGAAGAAATCCCTTATATTAAATGCTAAATCGAAAAAAATTTTCCGAGGAAGTGCGAATTACTTCATATTTTGATAGCAGAAATTAAGAACTTATTTTGGATATTTTCACAGAATTTAATTTGAACATATTATTAAATTATTGTGACATCTGGCTTTTAATTTAAAGCAGTTTGTAATACATTAAAAATATTTAATAATCTGCTAAAAATGTCTTTAGTTTTATTTTAGTCAATTAAATGTTGAAATATATGTATTTTATTATGAGTCTCGTTAGTCAAACAAAACAGTATTCTACAACATGCATTGAACTAACATTAATTTCTTATAAGCTGATTTCTTTGGTAAATTCTTATTTTTGAAAAATGTGTAAGTTCCATTCTTTTAATGAATAAAGTGTCACCATTTTACTTTTTTCATCATTACTGACGCATGTAATAAATCTTTCAAAATGGATAAATTTTTCTTTAGTGCATATTTATATTATAAAAGTGCATAATTGAAAAAAGGGGGAACTGTACTCTTCATATAAGAAAATCTATTCAATCAATGCTGCATTATTCTTCATCATTATCTTTGAAGTGTGTATTATCATATAATGTGTACCTACACACAAATCATGCATGCTAAAATGTGAATGTATTTTTCATGAAAGCCATCTGTATTGCAGTATCATTTTTAAAATTTAATTTTGATATTTGTATTATGTATGAAGTTCTTTTAATTCAAAAGAACAGTTTGAGTGAAGTTTAATCTTTGATTTTGATCACCTCTCATAACCCCATGTTTACAATGTATGAGATAGCAATGTTGATGCTGATATGTCTTTCACATACAATTCTCAGAATTCAGCTTAATTTTGAGAATTAAGCATCTTAATTATGGTAGTGTACATTGAGGTGACAAAAGTGACGGGATAGCAATATGCAGATATACAGATGGAAATAGCAACTCGATCATGTTAGTGTACACTGAGGTAACAAAAGTCATGGGATAGCAATATGCAAATATACAAATGGCAGTAGTCTCACATAGAAAATGTATTAAGGGGCAGTGCATTAGCAAGCCTTTCATTTGTATTCTAGTTATTCATGTGAAAAGGTTTCTGGCATGATTATAGATGTGTGATAGGAATTAACAAGCTTTGAGCATGAAATGGTAGTTAGTGCTAGATTCATGGAACATTCCATTTCAGAAATCATAAGCAAATTCAACATTCCAATGTCCACAGTGGCAAGAGTGTGCCATGAATACCTAATTTCAGGGATAACCTCCCATCATGGACAGTGCAATGGCTGACCCCCCCCCCCCCCCCCCGACGGTGTGAAATAACTACAGAAATAATTGTGGGATGTGTGACAGACATGTCTGATAGGACAGTGGTGCAGAATTTGGTTTTAATGGCTTATAGCAGCAGAAGATCGAGTCGAGTGCCTTTACTAACAGAACAGCATTGCCTCTTGCGGCCTCATGGCCATATCAGTTGGACTCTATTGGAAAGCAGTGGCTCGGTCAGATGAGTCATTACTTCAGTTGAGCTGATGGTAAAGTTCAAGTGTGGTACAGACCACACGAAGCCATAGACCGAAATTGTCAGTAAGGTAGCAAGCTGGTGGTGGCAGTTTTTCCATGGCATGGCCTGGGTCCTGTGGTCCAACTGAACCAATTATTGACTGGAAATGGTCATGATCAGCTACTTGGAGACCACTTGCAGCCATTTATGGACTTCATGTACTTGAACAACGATGGAATTTTTATGGATGACAATGTGGCATGTCATTGGGCCATAACTGTTTGGTTTGAAGAACATTCTGGACAATTCCAGCGAATGATTTAGCCACCTAGATTGCTTGTCATGAATCCCATCAGACATTTATGGGACATAGTGGAGAGGTCAGTTCGTGCACAAAATCCTGCACTGGCAACACTTCTGCAATTATGGATGTTATAGAGGCAACATGGCTCAATATTTTGGCATGGCAGGGGACTTCCAGTGACTTGCCACGTCAAGTTGCTGGGCCAAAGGAGATTTGACATGATATTGGATAATCCCATGACTTTTTTCACCTCGGTGTATAGTATCTTAACTGTGGCATCTTATCAAACTAATATTTTTTTTTTCTTTAATATGTATTATTATGTGTTTCAGTATAATCTCAGAGCAGTAAATAAGTACAATCCCTCGATGAATTTACAGTGCTATCAAAAATTCTATAAGATATTATTTTTTACATATAGATATTCATTCATATAATTATCTAAAATATTTTTACCATACTCTTATCATATTTTTGATGTATCTTTCAGTCTGTGGATGAAGCAATTTTAGAAGTATTATCCAGGACACTGGAACCAGTTTCTACATCATGTCCAGCTGGGTTGGCTAATGAAACTGAAATTGGAGAAGTGTTGACTGAAGAGAAAGTTCAGGCATTTCAGAAAGACAGACAAAAGAAAGATAATCACAACAGAAGTAAGTTTTTGGACTGCAGAAATGCATGTGAAAAGAAAATAGCTAGTACAATGCACAATAAAGATAGATGATAATTTTGCTTTCTTTTTGTAAGCTTTAAGTATTAGTGCGACTAAATGCTTAAGAAAGATAATAACTATATTTAAAAAAATAATAATAAAAAAAACTACATAAAAAAACAAAAAGAAATTATCTAAAATTTACACCTTTAAAAAAATTACATTTCCTAATTTTTGTGTAATGAATTAAATTTAAGAGCTTGTGTATTTTTATTTGCGTATATTTATTCCCTTTACTGAAACATTTATATGAATGTTTTGGAAAATTTTAAATTGCTGCTAATAATAATTTATGTGTTTTGGAAAAGTTTTTTTAATTGCAGCATAAAAATGAAAAAACATACATTAGTTATCAAATACTCAAAATAAAATATATTTCAGATGTTGATAAATTTTGCCATATTGATGAATGAAGTTTTGTTAGGCCTTTGGTAATTTGTCTAATCTGTGAAAATGTTTTATGGTACTAAATAAGAATTAAGAATTTAATAACTTGATAAAGCAATTTTTTTTTCATTTGAATGTCATGTTGGCATGAATGTTAAATAACATTGTAATTTTTAGTTTTTTTTTTTTTTTTTTTTTTTTTTTTTCTTTCTTTCTTTCTTTTGCAAAAAGGGAAAAGTTTTTTATGTACCCAAGACTTACATATTTGAACTTGATGTATTCAAACTATTCTTTGAAGGAAAAGTCTAAAAAAATGTGTTGAAACAAATATAAATAAATATGTTTTTGTGACTTATCTCACTTGTCTGACAGTAACATCAGAACAAGTGTACGAAATTCATTGTGGGAAGGGGTGTAAGATTGTGCTTGTCATTGGTAAGGGCCTTGAACACCATACAGGTGATAGTATGACTTTGCTCAGTTCCACCCCCCCCCCCAATTTTGAAAGAGAACAAACACCCCTGGGAGATGGATCCGAGGGTCTGCCACCCCTCTTCCCGTACCATCAACATCTGAAGAGGATTTTTGCCTCTTCGCATGTTTAAAGTGTTCCCATGTATATTTATGCCTTCTTCGGAATTCGAACTCGGAACTTTCGGTACAGTAGTTAAGTTTTGCTAAGCACTATCCTGGTTGTGCGGCATCAGCCATTATACGAAAGATATTGTCAATTATTTAAACAACCAGAAAATTGAATTTGTCCAACAATCAAACAGTGCCCTCAATGTTCAAATAAATAGTATACTCTCCATTAAAGCAAAATTTAAAGAAGGAATGGTAATTTTAAAAAAAAAATTTTTTTAGGTTATACATAAAATAGCTATGGTTAACAAAAGCATTTTAAGGTAAAGATTTCATGTACATTTTATCTATTCAAAAAAGCTGTGCATAAAATCCTATTGGATTTTTTTCCTAGCAAATCATACTGAAATTTTTGACTAAACTCCTTAAATAGAAACATGGAACACAAAGGGGGGAAATATTTTTTCAACTAGTGAAATCAAAGGTTATGTAAAAATTGATGTATTGGCAATCTACAAAGGGTAATTAATATATTTTGCATACCATAGATTCAGAGTTTTGGGGATTAAATTTTGAAAGATTATTTATAAAAAAATAATGATTTCGGAGGAGTCCCAGTAAATTAGTGCCACTCCACTAACTTAACATTTGGTATAATTTAATGTCTCTTTTTAATCACTTTCTGCTGGTCAAACAGAGCATTATCTTTGAAAAAAAAGGTAGTAGTTTATTACTAGCTAGACTGTAATAATTTCTAACATTGCTGATGTTGGGCAAATATTTTAAGAACATTTGAATTGCTGTATTATTGTAATTACAGTACGTATTTATGCCTATAATTGTCTGCATCTTTTCTTATTCTGTTTAAAGATGTATTTCAGCATTCTAATTTTGAAATTTTTATCTCTCTTTCTTTGTGATGCACCCCACCAACAGCCAAGTAGGTAGGACCACAGAATGCTATAAGTTTAACCTAGGTTTGATTTCAGGCAAGCAGACTAACTGAATTGTTAGTTTTTGTGGTTTTTGTCATGTGTAACATGGATATGAGTCAATTTCCCTCAGAGTTTATACAAAAGTATCCCTCTTCTTGGACGGCTAGCTCTCATATGCTTATTCAAATAGCCTTTTGTATTTTGACAATGTTTCTAAGAACTTGCATAAAGGATTTGGTGACAGATTTTGTTCTTTTCATGGAAATTCCAATCTGTCCCACTTCTTTTCTCAGTAAAAAAGTGGCTAAATAAAGTCAGGTAGCTGCTGTAGATTACCACTCATATTCCTTTATCTTGTGAATCATTGATGGGCTTCCCTAGGCTGTAAGCTAAATTTTCATTTTATTCTCAATAAAATTTTCTCAGTTTAGTGGCTTAGAGGTATTGTTTTGTCTCTGCAAATAAAAATGTCAAACAAGAAGAAAACAATCCAATTAATATGACAATTGAAATGAAATTTCATGCTTGAAGAGACTGAACAAAATCAAAAGTGCTAATAAAATTGCCATGGATTTAGGTGTATGATTAATTGAGTTGTAAATAGACCATTTCTTCTTTTGTAAATCTTGACATTTTTGCTATCTCATTTCCTTCTCAGTTCACTAGATCGGATTTGCAGGGTCTGTTGTATTATATATAATGTTAAAATAAAAAAAAAATTTTTTAAATCGCTGAAATTTTTTTAACAATATACTAATTTACACGAATATCAAAGTACTCTCTTTCCCTCATCATTTCAGTGTTAGAATTTGTATGTTCTCTATTTAGATTATCTAATGAGACGAACATTCAGAAAAGCAACCGAACTTATATATAATGAAAACAATGAGCTATTACATTTTCTACTGTTGAGGAGATTGCAATTAAAACAAGATTTCTTGACAATTTGAATATATCTTTTTGTATTCAAAGTGTCAGAATTTAGTAATTTTAAGTAGTGCAACAATAATATTACATTTATTTTCTGTATCATATTTGTATTACGTGATCACCAGCTTATGCTTTAGTAAAACAGATTAATTTAGTGCTAATTTAATTAGGAACAAGAATAACAGCAGTAGTAACAATTCAACTTCAGAATCAATGTTCTTGCAGTGTTACAGGTATTCAGTTAATATATCATCAACCAAAAAAGTTGATAATTACTTATCAGGAAGAAGATTTTGAGGTAACTGATGAATATTTGTTCTTTATCATATTTTCAGAACTGACTAATTGTGGATTTGTAGCAAAAGAAAATTTTACTTTCATGCGGACATTTCTTCTAAAGATATATTTTTTAAAAAATTTTTCTTGTAAATTTAAATAATGCTTGATTTATAGTTTTGTAAGAGTGAGATCTTTTCCCTTCCAGTTGAAAGAAGGAGAAGGTTCAATATAAATGACAGAATTAAAGAATTGGGTACTTTACTTCCAAGAAGCAATGATCCGTGAGTGTGTTATTGTAATATGAATAAATTTTCTAAAATATTTCTGTATATATTTTGAAAAATGGCGTGAATAGTATGTATGCTAAACCAAATGCAATTGTTTTGATGGATAGACCAAAAACCTAGTGAATATTTATCTTAAAAAAAAAAAAATGTGTGCAAATTTATTTAAATTTTTATTTATTTTTTAAAGTAACATTCAGTATTAAAACTATTAAATTTTTATCCAATGATTCAGTATTTGCTAATTATCTGCCAGTGAGTTTTATCTGGATTGCTTATTTTGGTAGTTTCGTTTTAAGTTTGATTCTAAATGAAGCATACTTGTTTCATGGAATTTTAAAACATTGCATGTATGAATGAACTAAATTCATTATACTTCCTGATTTATAGATTTCATATTATTTTATTCAGTCAGGTTGATAATTTTCTAAAACATACAAAATTGGTTAGGATTTATAATTATTTTCATTAAAAGGCACACACTGACAACATTTACAAATACTATCTTTTTTAAAATAAGAGTCGAATTCCCTGTTAGCAGACACTCGGTGACCTAAATTAATAAAAGAATATGGATTATTATTGGAAGAAATTGAATAGTTATGCTTTTATTCTTTCTTTAAACGGTATTTATAATTTTCATAATGCTTCTAATATAAAAATATGAGAAATTAACATAATGATGATATATTAATTACATTAAACTACATTCATTCTCATAATATAAAAATATTCTGGAATGTGGAAGTATTACAGTCAAAAGTCGTTAATCCGGACTCGTCGGGACTTCGCGATTCCGGATTATCGATTTTTCCAGATTATAGATCATCAGTTTAAAATCTGGTAAGATGGCATGCAGAAATTACAAAATTAAAAATATGAAACCGTAATTTATGAAATAAAGAACAATTATGATCTAAAGGGTATCAAAATTTAAAAAGAAAAAGCTTAATATTTATTTGTTTACTTTATTAAACATTCTTTCAATGTAAGTTGCTTTCCTTTCATGTGTGATAATACTTTCTCTTTAATTCTATTAAACAGACATAATTTCTTGTTTAGTTACAAAGTTCCGCTGTTCAAGTCCTATAATTGCTGTGTTGAGAATACCGAGTAATTTGTCAATTGAAATGTTTTCGTTTTCAATAACCTCTGGGTCACTTTCTTCATTATCGAAGCAAAGCGAATTATGGGAATTATAATGACGAGGAACTTGATTTAAATCATATCAAAGGCACAGAATTATAAACCAAATAAAATAAAAACATCTGCCCTGAAGATAAGGATAGTGCTGACAGATCAACTTCCGATAGGCCCCGTGAAATTGATAAATAGATTTCGGATTTCAAAACATACTTTCGCTTTGTAGATACAAATTACATATTAGTAAATATATATCGGAAATTCTATTTGACATAATCTTTCTAATAAATTTATCATAATCTAATAATGATGGTTTCTGCCCCCCCCCCCCTCTGCCGCAGAGCAGTGTGAAATTGATAACAGATTCGGATTTCAAAACATACTTTCGCGTTGGTTAGTAAATATATATCGGAAATTCTATTGATAATCGAAAGTTCAAGCTTACTTTTATAAAATTGCTCTAACAGTCTGCAAAAAATAATAAGCCGGATCCATTTCGAAGATTAAGGAACAACCAATCTGCAACATTAACTGAATAGATAACTTGAGCTTGGTATAACTCCGTTACACATTAAACGCGCATGCGCACAAACTATTCGCAGTAGGGTCTACGCGCTCTCGTAAACGCCTGTGCGCATGTGTGAACGCGACGCATGTGCAGAAAGTTTGTAGCTTTGAGGTTCGGATTATAGATCATTCCGGATTATGGGTATCCGAATTAACGACTTTTGACTGTATATGATATATTTAGTATGGCTTTTATGACATGTTTATTGTTTATGTTGGTTACATAAATTGCAAAAATTAATTTAGCATTACTATTGGATAATATTTCTTTCAGCTGTAGTGAATATTATTGTTGTTAATTTATGTGATTTTAATGTGTAATGTAATAAATTCCTTAATAATTAAAGCATTGAATGAAACATAAGTAGGGAAGTTAAGAAGTTCATTTAATTTCATAGAAGTGGTTAAATTATTACTGAGTTATTTTTTCCCATTAAAAGAAAGTCCCTAGTGTATTCTTGAATTCCATAGAAAAATATTAGGGATGATAATTCTTATCACTTTTGAAAGCATGTGGGCTTTTTTTATCAACACATTTTCTGTTCTCGGGTTTATAATATTTTTCTTTTAATAGAAAATGCAGAAGCTGTTTGAAATAGCTTAGATAAAGTTGTTTATATTGGATGGTAAAAAGAAAAGCATTATCATCAGCAATTCTAGGTTTTCCTGTGAAAATGATCTTTTTTGCACACATTCAAAACAATTTTCTACATACAATAAATTTTCAGTTTAAATTTCTGTGTTTTGAGATTAAAATAACAAGGATGTAATTACATTTTTTAATGAATTTATTCTCTTGTTCATTGACTGCTTTAAGATACAAAATACAAACTAAGCAAAAATTGTAAAATATATGTATGATAATATCTTATCATAAAAATTGAAAAAATCCACCTATATTTGCTTAATAATTAAGAGAATTTCACTAACGTGTAGTTATTCAACATTTTTTAGCTGCAGCCTGTTATTGTATACACTTGAAGTCTTCATTCACACGCAAGTGCATGAATGAAAACTGAGTTGAACTATAGTCTTAAATGAGTTGGAAAAAATAAGTGCTGAATTTTGATGACAACTTGTGACATAAGGGAGGCTGAAAAAATCTTGAAGTGCTTGTCTTAAAGTAGCAGACTGTAATCAGTGCCATTTAATGTATTAATATTTGCAAGTTAAAATTTTCTACTTTTTTATATCAGTTTTATTAATTTAGATAAAATTCTTAAGATCTCAATTAATCAATGCTTATTATATTATATTTTCATAAAGTTTTGTAATTGTCAAACCTATGTGCCATAATTTAGTATGTGTTAAATAATTTAATTTTTATGCAGGTATTATGACTTGGTTAAAGATCTTCGTCAAAATAAGGGCACCATTCTGAAAGCATCAGTTGACTATGTACGGTGTCTTAAGAAAGAAGTACAAAAAATTCCAGATTTGGAACTTCGCTGTCGAATGGTTGATCAATTTAATAAGAGACTTCTGTTACGAATACAGGTAAAAATACTTTTGAACATGAGTGCTGCTTTTTTGGTTCATTTACTCTAGTAATACTTTTATTTCTGTTGCTCTCAGTCCCCTTGTTCCAGTCTTACTATATCTCCTGCATTAAATCTAACACTACCAAGATTTAGTAAAGGGAAAATACTGAGAGCAAAAGCCAGAGACTTAGAACATAGCATAAGTCTTTAATGGTATTCTTTCTTAAGTTAGGCTCAGTACAAGACTTTGAATGTGAGAACTACTCTGTGGTAGTAATTGCACTGCATAAAGGGACATTAAGTGTGAGTTAATTGTAATTATCAACTGCATCTGACCTGTGCTTGTGAACGAAAAATAAGTAAAACTATGATATAATTAATCAATGCAACAAACTGTTTGCGATGTTTTTAATTTTCATGTTAATGTAAAATTAATTAAATAATGCATTTTTATTAATTGCAAATTAAAAATTATGCATTTTTAATCTTGACTAGCAATGGGATTTAACCCTGGGTCAATGTATTTTCTATACCTTAACGTATTTCCTCGTACCCAAATGCTGTTTTTTTTTTTCCTCCCCCTTGAGGAGGGTGTGGCAGATTTTTTTGCTTTGTTTATAATTTTAAACATTATACTGTAATAAATGGCATATCATATTCATTTTAATAAGAAATTAAACTTTTCTGAGTTTTAATACATTAGGATGTGCATGCAGTGCAGCATTTATAGTTATGAATTTCAATTTGCGAAAACTTTTATTATATATAAAATATGATATAATTAGTCAAACTAACTGCCAAAATATTGAATTCAAAATTAACGCTTTTTTACTTCCTTGTACTAAGTAAAGGAAGTATTCTAATGGAGAAAAATTTTGGGTATCTTATTTCAACCAGAATACTATCAGCTGTTTTGACCACTTTTGAATCCATTTGAATGATTTTTTTGCGTGACATCTGTACATACCAACAGTGTAAAGGACTATTTTTTCCCAAATGGATCTCAAAGGGACTTTTTCATAACATCTGTACTTTACTTACACACATATGTATATGTATGTATCTCGCATAAAACAAAAATGGTTAATATGGGACTGCTTTAACATGTAGTTGTGCATTTCCCATTTTTGTTGCAATCAGTGGCACCAAACACACACACACATATCTATCACAAAGATGGGAAATAAGAGGAGAGATCAAAGCTGGATTTTCCCATGCACTACTGTGAAGCAGTGGCGCACCTCTCGAGGAAACCGAAACATTCAGTGACTTCCCATTAAGATCATTAAGTTTTGACATGATCAGAGGTAACAATTTTGTAATTACATCGTAAATATACATATAAATGTATGTATTTTCTTTTTCTACAATATTTCAGAGTCCTAAGTATGCGAAAAGAATACACTTTTAAACAACATTTAATTCTAAATGGAATTAAATACGATACTTTTCCACATAATAGTTTAATATGAATTTAATATTTTCACAGGTTTTCGTTAATTACGTTAGAAATAAATTTTAAGGTAATTTGATTTTATTCGGTTAATGATTACAAAAATTAAGATAAAAGTATATTGTATTATTAATATTAAAATTAAAATTATGCATTATTTCTTTTCTATTTACAGCGCATCTTCCTGAAATAATTTCTCAAATATGTGATGATTTTTTAGCTTCTGAGGCATCCTTTAAATCAAACAGAGCCACTTTATAATAATATACTTTTATATGATTAATGCTCTTTACAGATCACATCAATGTTTTGCTAAAATATGTATTTATGTAGTCCAGTAGCTTAGAATTTTATAAAACAAATTCATAATCAAAATCATTATTGCAGGTTATCAAAAAATAAGCAAGATGTGATTTTTGCATAAATGCCACTAAACTATACAAATTGCTATTATACATGCAACAATGAATGTTTCTTTTATACGGAAGTGTCTCCGCTTTTTAATTTGTGTGGAACTGTCGTTTGTGCAAATACTGTCAAAGCACCGTCAGGATGCTGTTGATGTAAGCAAAAAACCAAAACTTGGAAGCACTGCATCATTCATAGTGTGAGGTTGTTACCTCTTTTTATTCTTACCTCCATGATATATATATAGATAGATAGATAGATATACATATAAATAGATATACATATAGATAGATATACATATAGATAGATACGCATCCACTCTTTTACCCATCTCAGTGAGTATTTTTATATATTGGTAAATTGTACATTTTTTCATTTAAAAGTGACTGTATTATGTTGTTCTTATCTTCAAAAGTTTTGATGCCTTTACTTAATCTGCATCAGTAGTTGTAAAATTATCAATAATTTAAAAGTTGTTTAAGTGGAACTAAGCCTAATGAAGACGCCATTTGTGTACATTTGAAACTCTTAGTAGAATATTGAATTTAGTCAGTTTGTGCACAAGCTTCAGTGTGTTTTTGCTCAGTGAAATCAAAAGTTAACTTTCAGCTTTGCGCACTGAAAATTTTGTCTTCCTGTCCATTGGTCAAATTGCATACAAACTCTACTTTTAATTCTAAAAAAAAAAAAAAAAAAAAAAATTTTTAACTGTTTTTAGTTTTTCTGTATTTTATAATTTTCAATCAAGATGTTTGATGTTATGTATTTTGTCTTGCTGTGAAGTGAGAACTGAATTGACTGAAGGAGAAATATATCTCTAATATAATTCAAGGAAATAAAGCAGTAAAAAATGTATAACTTAATAAGTTGTATAGGGAGTCATGATGTGTCCACATGGCATTTTAGTAGTTCAAATTTTAATTGCTCAAAAAAAATTTTATTCCCTCTTCATGTTTAACTTATTTTTGTCATTCTTATCAGGGAAATGCATGCATTTAGGATATATTTTCTCTTCAGAACATGTGTGATTGATTTCAGAAAGTATTTAACTGTGTATCTAGCATTTAAGTGCTTATAGATATGAAACACTGTATAATAGCCAAACAAATAATTTTTATAAAACTGTATTAATGTGTATTCTTTATAATCAGGATAACAAATTTTACTACACCTAAGCTATATTGTGAATGAGCTGTATTGAAAATGTATGAATTCAACTAGCCAACAGGTCATCTTCCTGGAACAGTCAATGAAAAATGCCGTGTATGGCTGAAATTTGCCATGTTTGTAGATTTCGAGGTCGCTTTTGACAGGGCCTTTGGAAACTAAGGACTGTCCAAAAACTGCAGTCCATATATGTTGATGGCAAGATGCTTTGACAGATCAAAGATTTTCTTTCTCAACACTTCTGTGCAGCTTGTTTTGGAGTTCACACTTCAGAATTTAAGCAAAATGAAATTGGTCTATCACAGTGCACTGTAATTAGCCCCATCTTGTTTAATATTTTTATAAGTGACCTACCTGACCTGATGACTTTTGATGGATTGGTAACAGGCTCTATTTGCAAGCAATTTAGTTCTTTAGTGTAGCTCTGTTAAAAAGGACTAAACCAAGCTCAGTACTATTTTGAATCTAACTTTGGAGTGACTTTAACATTGGTGCAAGGAAAATATGTTAGTAAACATAAATTAAACTACCAGCCACCATTTTCACCCTTAACTGACAACCCTTTGTTTTCAAATTTGTCTTTCAGGGTAGGCATATGCAATTTAGTGATTTATCAACTTACTTAGGCTGCACCTTTGACAATAAGCTAACTTGAAGGGGACATTCTGAACGTGTTATCTGAAAAGCAGAATAAAGACTTTGTATTCATAAACGAATAGTTGGAGTTAAATGGGGTTGTAATAGAGAAACTTTAATACAGCTTATAAAATGTAATTAAGCCAGTCTTGAACTATTGTAATGAAGTGTTGGTTTCTGCTTCTGATAGGGAGAGTAATATTCAAGACCACGTTTGTGTTAATAATGCAGCTGTTATCTAAAAACCATCCTTTGACTAATGTGATTTTAAAAAAATGCTACAGTACAAAGTCCGAAATCCGGACATCCATTATCCGGAATGATCTAAAATCCGGACCTCAAAACCACCAATAACATTTTTCTCTTACACTTTATGCATGCGCATTTGATTCCCCCCCCCTCCGGGCATAACGAAGACATCTGGAGAGTTCCAATTCTTAATTTCACTTTGACACTAAATAAAATACCTTGTTATTGATGAAACAAACATTTTAGCATAAATTTGCACGATCAGTAATTTGGCTTCATTGCTGCGTATCTGCTTTTTGGCACACATCTTAAACCGAAGCATTCCACATAGATATATCGTTGATCTGACGCCAAGCTGGCAAATCATTATTTATTATACTTTTCTTTCATCACCACATGTTTATCAAAACATGACAACTTGAGTAATGACTCGTGTAGTGCTGCCTAAACTCTTTATTTTTTATGTTAGTAATTGAATAATAAAGGAGTATAGTAACCTTTTAAGTTGACATTGTGCTTGGCGATAATTACAGATTAAAGTTAAATGTGCTAAAAAATGATGACGAGGAAAAATTTAACAAAAGTTTCTTTCCACATGCTAAAAATAGATTTTGTTGATGATACTCACAGATCCTCAAAGATTACATTTAGTTCTATTTGAATTTAAAATAACTGATTTGTTATTCACATAAACCCAGAACCAGCGTCAGGGCTCCTATGGCCATACGGAGTCTCAGGATTTAGGACCTACAGAGACTGCATCAGGCAATATCACATCTAGCACCGGCCCTCATTAAGTATATGTGGGAATTTATTTATTTAAAACAATGATAAGCCTTAAGCATGTGTAAGAAATAGACATAAGTGTAACAAATAACTAAACTAAATACAATTCAGCCTTAATTGTCTCAATGTGTGATAGAAGCAAAATAAAATTTAATGGAACAACTTGCCGTTTGTTGCCAAGCTCGTGATGCATAGCCAAATATGTATAGCGAAGGGTAGCTAAATTTGATGACGATAGCCGCTAATTTTAAAGGTTTTCAGATATCGAAAAAAACAAAGGTGAAATTTTCCAATTAACAGATTTTTTAAAGAAATGTGGAGAAACAGTAATAAATGAAGATGGTATAAAAGAAAGTTTTTCATTGTGATGACAATGCTTCTCAATCATCAGTCAGTTAATGAATGCTGAAATCTGTAGTATGGTTCTAGGTCTAGAAAATACCGTGAAGAAGTGACAGAGAAGTTACTGAAAACGAGAAAATTTCGATTGACAATTATTCGGAATTCTTGAAACAGCAGGTACAGGACTTCCAACAATGTAACTGAACAAGAAATTATTTCTCTTTATAGAATAAAAGAGAAAGTATTAGCACAAAAAACGGAGCAACTTAAACAACTTACATTAAAAGAAATGTTTAATAAGGTCAAAAATAAATATGAAGCTTTTTTTTTTGTAAATTTTGATACCCTTTAGATGATAAACACTTCATTATTTCATAAATCATGATTTCATATTTTTAATTTTATAATTTCTATATGCTAGATTTGAACTGATGATCTAATATCTGGATAAATCCCAAATCCGGAATCGTCCAAGTCCCGATGAGTCCGAATTTTGGACTTTACTATTCTTTATAACAGGTTAATTAGGCTACCTAATAACTCTTTTTGGTGAGACTACAATCACAATCAAGAATGTAACCTAAAATTTCAAAGGGGTTTTATGTAATGTGTACATGATAGTGACCGTTTTCTTTTATATAACAATAAATCTGTTGAATTACTCTTTCTTGTCAACTCCTTGCACTACATGAACCTTGATTTAATACTGGACCTAAATAAGAGAATTTAAAAAGTTAGACTGCTGTTCTGAAGCATTTTGTGCAATTGCTCTGGAAACTATCCACAGTTGCTATATGAATGGCTCCTTATCTGTGCAGATGTTCACTAGACTTCACTCAAGGAGCTGGAGGTGGTATTTTTTGTGAACTTTTTTGTTTTTATCTCTGCCATTTGGAAATTTCATGATCCATTTGGGTGGTGTGTTGGAATCAATGTAAATAACTCTTTAGTAACTTTCCATTCACTACAATTCCTTTGAAACGAATGTGAGCCTCTCAAATTCAACATCTGCTCTTCAGGTTTTATTATCTAATTAGGAGAATAAAAGCCCTCACGTCCAGCATTGTCGATCTCTGCTTGAGAGAATTCAATGTAAAATGTCTTTGCAGTGGGTACCCTCCCATTGTGGTGTTGAGAGAAATCAGAAAGCGAACCATTTTGCAAATAGAAGTTGCAGTTTGATTCAGAAACCAAATATAAATTTTCCCTTTCATTTTTCAAAAGTGGAGATTAAAAAAATTTTCAGACTGTCCTTTCATACAGTCAGCTTATTCTTCCTGTGATTCAGAAACCAAATATAAATTTGTCCTTTCATTTTTCAAAAGTGGAAGATTAAAAGAATCTTCAGACTGTCCTTTCATACAGTGTCAGCTCATTCTTCCTGTACTAAATCCCAGAGTATCCTCAGTACCAATTCCCATCTTATTCCGAATGCTCCTCATGCAGCTGTGGTGTGGCCACTTTTAGACTATTGACCGGACACGACTGTCTCCATGCCCATTTATTTCGTTTTGATATCATCAACTGTTCTTTGTGTTTTAATGGACAAGCTATGACCACTGTTTACATTGACCAATGCTACTACGCATTATCTCATTTTAATTGTTTTGTGAAAAAATATTGGAGAGTACATAGCCTAATGATCTAGTGGCCAACATTCTGGTGTTTGATAAATAAAATATTGAAAATGTTATAGAACTAGCTGAACAACATGTCTTCTTTCCAGTAAAAGTCCCATTTCTGTTTTCATCTGTCTTTTAGCAGTTTAGTACTTTTTAAAAGTTTATTTTTATTATACTTGTATGATATGCATGTTTTAATTAATCTAGCCTTTAAATTTCAAAGAAGGAATGAAAGATTTTATTTTTAATTATCAGAATTATATGCATACACACACACATATACATAACTTAATTCGCAGTTGTCCCGTGAATTTCCATTTTAATTTGACTTTTTCCCTTTTCTGTACTAAAAGTAATAATTGCTTATAATAAGCATCTCTAAACTGCATCATTTCAAAATTAAAAGCTATCCTTTGACTTTTACATAATGTAAATGACACTCTCTTTTCATACTTAGGAATCAAAAGTTAACAACCAATACTGAAACCTTTCATTAACCAATGGGAAAACTGCAAACCCTAATTCTCTTACTATAGGAACTAAAATTTCATCTTGAATACATTAGGCATACTTTATGCTTCTTGGTCTAACTAGACTGCTCTTTCTCTTCTTACCACATTAGTGTAGGTGCAATTAGTGCACCAAATTATTTATGCTCACTTTAAAATATGTTTACCAAAATAAAAATATAAATATTCGCATGTGAATACAAGCTTCTTCTTTCTGCCAGCAACATCCATCCTTAGCATTTCTAAATTATTTCATATGTATATATATCTGTGTGTGTAAACATACACACGTCTGAATTACGAAGTATGTTTTATTTTCTCTAACTCCCTCCTTTCTTTTTTTCTAAGGAACTGGAACTGCAGTTGAAAGCAAATAACATCCCTGTCAGTGAGTCTACATGGATTCCATCTTCAGAAGCAGAATTAAATGCCATAATAAAGCAAGAAGTCATTCCAAGTCCACCTCTTTCAAACAGCTCTCACAATGAAAAATATTTTCCAAATGGTCAGTCACGAATGACTCCTGTGCAAGAACACTATAATGAATATCAACATCTTGATCTCTCATCTTTGCAGTTGCCGCATAGTGATCCAAATGTCACACGTAAACGACTACCCATCATGCAATTCCTTGTCAAGAAAGAGTCACAGTCACAAGCAGTCTCTTCCTCTTCGTGTAGTCAAAGCCCAGCAACATGCTGTGCTAGTCCTGCTACATCGTACAGTCCTTTTGATGACCTCATGATGGAGGATGAGCAGCCCGTCACTGGTGATCCAATGTTATCATCACGGGAAACATTTACACCAGAAAACATGGATTTTATGTCATAATATCCAGAAACTTAAAAAGAAAATTTTAAAAAGTCTCATTTCACCAGTTAAGTGAAATATATATGGGAAATATTTCACAAAATGCTTGAATGTGTACATGACTAAGCATCAAGCTGTTTGAATAACCCTCATGATTTTATGGTCAGTTTTGTCTAAGTCTTCTGTTTTTTTTTTTTTTTTTTTTGGTGCCATTAGAAGTTGCCTTTTCTCAAGCTCATGTGCATATCTCTCGTGGACACTTGTTAATAATGAACTGTTAATATCTTGTTTTGCAAAATGCAAAATTTTGATTATGGGTGTTTATAAATCTTAAAATATTTCAGCATTCTTTCATCTAGTTATTTTAAGACAGTTTTAAAATCTATTTTCCTGTAGTAGTGATAAAGACAAACCTTTAGTTGTAAATATAAATATTCATTTTATGTTCTTTTGAAGTTAACTTTCATCATTAAATGTGAAATTTTGAAACTTAATAACTAAACAAGTGCTGCAGAATATTTCCCTGTAGTTAGAACAGATTGTACTGTTCCGAATGAGAACTAAATTTACTTAATTCACTTATAACAATATAAAATATTCATAGATACAGAGTTTTCATCTGCAATTGAGGCTTCCTTCTTTTAAATGTTGCAGTATGTGTTTTTAAAGCTTTCAGTGATTGCAAGATTAAGCAATTCTTCTTCCCAAACATGCGCAATATCACTTAGCCCTAAGTCTTATTGCGAGCTGTGTTCGTTTGCATACACGTCAGTTTGTAACTAAAACGAGAGTTCAGCTCATTGATGACTATTAGAAGGTTAATTAAATGAAAGGAAATATGTTGTTTGTTCATGAATCTACTGTGTACAAAAAGCATGTTGAGGACGTACTACTGATGACAGTCGCATTAATTGTAGGATCAGTATTAAATGGGAAAACAGAGCTTCCTGCAGTATCTTGTTCTAGGAATGTAGAAACACCAAGTTTCCATTTTCCATGGGGGTATTAAAAACTGAGTATGACAGTGATTTACCAATTCCTCTCTCTCCCAAAAAATTGCTAAAAATTTAGTATTTTTAAATATTTCTGTATTGTTAATATTCGATAGCAATCTACAAATAAGTGTACATAGATCGTCAAATTGTCTTTCCTCAATTAATTTATATTTAATTAACTAAAGACAAAATTTTAAATCTTCGCTCATTTTATGTGTACATGTAGTGAGAAATTATATATTTATTTTAATTGAAATGTTTCCTATTGGCTATACATATACAAAATTGGGTTGCTAAACATTCCAGGAATGTTTACGTCATCTATATTCATATTTTTGTTATTAAAGTCTGTGAAATGGTGAATCTTATGTAGCCATTATTCACAACAGATAAAATGTTTTAATATGTTTGATTTTACTGATTACTGTACCATTATGTATATATGACTTCATATGTTATAAATTTAACATATTGTACATTTATGCCTAGGGTTGTTCATAATACATGTAACATTTAAAGAATTCATAGCAAATAAACTTTACAACTCATACTGAATTTACACTAAAATAAAGGCAGTGTTTTTGCATGTTTCACAACTGCACAGTATGTTCACATTTGCTGATACAAAGAACGGTGAATGGTAAACATTTTGTCCCACATATCTGCCAGTGTATCAAAGAGACCTAACACATCAGTAGATATTTGTGACAATCTTGAATATTAGTGGGGAATAGGAACAAAATGTGTATGCTTGACAAATCCCACCAGAAGTTTTCTTCTAAATTCGGAAGACAAGTGTGGCAGAAATGCTGGAAGAAAGATGCTGCTCAAGCTGTGTATCCATAGCAGATTTTGTAAAGTACTTAAGTAAATGATTTCAACAATGGTCCGGTATTAGTGAGGGTCTGTCTTGTTGAAAGAGAAAATCATTATTGTTTTGACATTTAACCATCTTTCTGGTGTATCAAAGTTATCCTTTCAGTGATACATGGTTATCTGCTATATCAGCAAAGATGAACACATTGAGCATTTGTTGAATGTGTTTAAGGAAAAGTGAAACTTAGCAAGTTTATCTGTCTTTCAGTGTAAAAAAATTTATTGTCAGCTGCATATTTTGTTATAAATTTAAAAAATATTTTGCAGAATTATGAATAACCCTGTTTAAAACAGACACACAAAAGGCTTAATAAATGTTAAGCTGTTTAGTACAGTGCCTTTGGAAAGTTATTATTGTCCTCACATTTATTTAAGAATGTAAGTAAATGTTGAGAACAGATTAGGAATTTTAAACTATTTTATTGTATAATATTTAATTTTTGGGTAAAATAACCAAAAGTTTTATTTGCATAAGTTACCTGACTCGTCTGTAAAAGAGAATGTGTAGTAAGATATATTTTATGCAAATTTTTGAACATGGAAAAAAATTATGCATGTATGAATTATTAATTGCTAGATATTTTTTATGAAATCTTACATATTTGATTCGATATAAGTATCCTTATATCATATTGTGTAGTATGTATATAGTTATTTCTTGGTTTTCATTTTATTACATCAATGATGAGTATTTTGTGCCACATGTTGCTAATGTGGAAATATGGTTATCTTCTGACTTTTTGTCATATCAGAAGTATTTTGTGCCACATATTATTGTTGTGGTCTTTTTCATACAGTTTAACATTGTTGTCATGCCACGTTTTCTCGTGTTGCATAGAGTGTTTGATTGGCAGTGTAATCTGATTTGTGAAGCCGACTGGCTTCAGAAATATCAAGATGGTTGTCTGGTTTTATAGTAAAGTGTCCTTAACTGTATTTGTTCCAAATTTAGCCTTATTTCCTTTGATACCATGTTTATAATAGAAAGTAATAACTTTAAAAACACTAACTAAATTTTGACTAAAATTTGTTTCCACAATATTCTAAAGTTTCAGCCGATAGTTATTTGAATTCCTTTTATCTTATATAAGCTTTCAATAGCCAGTCATTTTAATGTAAGAAAGCAGAATGTTATTTTCATTTTGTTGTGAAATGGCTGCTTTAAATGATAACTGAAGAGAATATAAAATAAAACTCATGCTGTTCTTGTAGTTTCATTTGTATTATAATTCTCAAAATCATTTGCACATAAACAAACATGCAGTCTTGTTGCCTTGTTAATCTGTATTTGATAACTGTTTCCTAGCCACTTTGAAATTGAAATTTTTGTCTCAAAAGTAATCAAATATGAATGAACAAAGTCAAATTGGTGCATCTTCAAGATGGTTTGGAAGAATGCCATGATGAACTTGGTTGATGGTAGCAATCACAGATTTAAATTAATAGATAAGTGTTAATATATATAATAACAATAATTAAAAATCCAAATTTTGTCATATTTTGATCATGTGCATTCACTTATTTATGTTGATTGAAAACGATTTTTGAATCACTGATATATAAAAGAATACTTACCAGAGTGTTTTCTCTGCAAGTGCCTGAATAAAAATGTGTATAAATAATTAATTTTAAACAAAATATTTTAAATGTTTTTTGTGCAACATTAAAAATACTAATTTCTTCCCTCTTCCCCAGGGGAAAGAAGAAAGGCCAAAAAAGGATTTTTACTTTTATGAAAAAGTGCAAATAATAGTTATTTTTTGCAGATACCAAAATTGTGTTATTTTTAATTTTAAAGAGCATAGTGATTTAGCATATTTGCATTTTTTCAACCCTTCTACAACAGATAGCAAGCTTCAATCTGAGCTCTGGGATAGATGTAGAGATTAGATGGATTCAAACTATAACAAGGCATAACCCGTAATGCATTAATAAAAATTCAGAAAGTGTTGGTTGTTTTTCCACCTTTTTTTAATTCTTTAATTGTACACAAAAGAACATTAATGTATTTCATAAAATGTCGATTTAATGTACCATCATTAAGACCATTACTCTTTAATCTAGTGCGTTTTTCTCTCTCTTCCTGATCTTGAAATTTATGCTCTATATTTGTTATCTCTATAGGCTGTGTCAATCACTACCTCTCTTGCTATATGTAAAAATTAGTATTATTTAAGATTTCACGTTATATTTAGGTTAAGACCTCGAAGAATTCAAAAAATTTTTCATGTTATAAATTAGTAGTAGTTGCTTGCTGTATCTTACATTATTTTGGCAATTAAGATGTTTAGAGAAAGCTTTGCTTTTGGAAATTGAAAGAAAACCTGTAATTCTATCTATCATAGGCTTTCCTGCATGACATGTTTGATAAACTGAAGCAGTGTGGCCCGCTTCTCTTGGTCAGAAATACTGTGGCTTGCAAAAGTGTTCATACATTTACTAGTTTCAGTAAAATATGCCTTTTTTCTTTAACAACATTAATATTTGAGAATGATAATTTTTTAGTAATGTCTAACTTTCTTTTAACAAAACTGCATTAATTATTTTATGAACATGGTAAAACTTTTTTTTTTTTTTTTTTTTTTTTTTGTCTGGAAAATCAATAATCAAAAAGTAACAGAAAAGTTACCTCACTAAAGTCTTCAGACACTCTTTAAGAAATCTACACATATTAGTAAATATTATAGTATCTTGCAGCGTTTATGATAGCGTTCAAACATCTGGGTATAGACCTCACCTTTTTTTTTTTTATAATATCTGCAATATTCCTCCATTCTTCCATGATTACTGTTTTTAGTTTGTTTTCTGTTTTGTATCTTTATAGTCTAACCTCTAATTTTTGGTGACTGAAGTGGTGTTTTCAGAACTTATGGACAATTACAGACACACCAAATGTGAACATTGAAGGCTGTATGCTTAAGATCATTATCCTGATAAAAAATAAAGTTTTTTCCCAAACCCAAATTTTGGGTGGATAATTGTAAGTCACCTTTTAAAATATTTAAATAAAGAACATGGTTCATTATTCAGCCAATAAAATACTAAATTATTTAATCTTGATGCTGACATGCACCCTTGCACAAAGACACCTTCACCGCCGTGCTTTACTGTTTCAACTAAGGTCTTGGAATCAAGTTCCTCATTTTCATTCTCTGAACGCCATTCGGAACCAAAAAAATGTAAATTTGTTTTCATCTGCACATAAGACATGATTTCAATACACTTTGGGCATATTTATAATTCATTTTGGGAAGAAAAGCCTAGACTTTATATTTTTTCACTTGCAAAAAATTTTCTTTTAACAGAGCGTCCATGTAGTCCAGCTGATCCGAGAACTTGTCAAATAGTTTTAAGTTAAATTCGAGTAGGAAATGTTTCAGTTAATTCTGTAGAAATCTTTACAGCACTCAAATGTAGATTTTCCACAAATTTTCTAACTATAAATCTCTGTTCATGTCACGTCCTCTTTGCTGGACAACCTCTTACTTTATTTTGGATCTGATTTTCTTCTTTAAAGCATTTTATCACATACTGCACCGTAGAATGGGATAAAGTTATTAATTTAGCTATATCCGGAATTGATAGTCCCTATGATGAAAAATGATCAATTTTTGAATACTGGTCCCTTTTTTTTATGATTAAGTGCTATTTGTAAATATTATATAAAATATAATGAAGCAAGCAAGCAAAGAAAAAGCCAAATAAATTTTTAAAACTCGCCAAAAAGAAAAAAAAGTGAAATTCATGAAATTTTATGAAAATATTTTTTTGGTATATGATCACTTTTCTGGCATGTTTTATCTACGTCTCCTTACAATTTCAATTGTAGAAAAAGAAAAGCATGGTTTTATTCAAAATTACATGGAGGTGAAAAAAAATATTGGGCTTTATATTCAATTCCTGGTTACAGCGCTTTTTCTACAAATTTTCCCTAACTATTTCTGGTATACATTAATGATGTGTTGCAGAATACTACATTTTATTTATTAGCTGAATAAAATGTAAGAATGATACAAAATGTGTTCTTAATATTTGTAAATAGAATCTAGTATTTCAATCAAGTAAAGAGTGAACAAAAAGTTGTGAAATATTTTATCTTTTATTAAGAAATTTCAACTCCTACTACAAATAAAAAAAGTGCACATTTGATAACTGTACAATGATATGAAAGTAATATACAGCCTGAACAGTATCCATGGCAGCTTTTATTTGACCTTTTCATATCAAAGTATTTTAATTTTTAAACTTAAAAATGGAACCTAATGTAAAAATGATCAAAGCATTAGATAATGAAATCTTTAATTTTTAGATCTGTTTGTCATTTGTTATGCTTTCTTTGATACAGTTATTATATTATATTTGATACAGTGTTATATTATATTTGACATAGTTATTGGTCAGTTATGGAGGAACAGCACTTATTTAATCTTAAGTACTATTTTGAAAGGCTTTCCTCTTTGGTAACTGATGTATCTGTAAAATTTATGAAACATGAGATCCTCATAAATGTTACTTAGCAAAAGCTTCTGTTGTTAATTCTGTACATATCAGTTTTCTCGTTGGTGTTAATTAATTATTTCATAAATGGTAATTTGATATGAAAAGATCGAGTGAAATATTATTTCTCTAAAGACTTGCCAACTAAAGTATATTCTTAGCACTAACATGCATTGTATCTGAATATTCATTTAAATATACGTACATTATATAAAACCAACATACTACATGTCAGTTTTTAAAAATGTATCAAAAAGTACAATAATTTAAATAAATATTTGTTACCAGTAAGTATTTACATTTTTTAAAAAATTCTAAAGAATGTTAATGTAGTTTAACAAAAATCTTTCTTGATAATGGGAATATATGATAAAAATATTTTTTTTTATTATTATTAAACAGATGATAAACTGTTCATTATAAAGCGTCTTAAATTTTATATGTAAATCTGATATTTTGAATTTACAGAATGCTATCTCTCAAATTTCTTTTGAAATTTTCATTCCTTTAAAAAGAGTAAACTTCATTTTTTAATACCAAGTGTATTTTATGATGATGGAACTGAGTTCTTATTTTTTTAATTAAAAGTAATTGATTAAAATTAATTAAATATTTGCATGGGTTCTTTTAAATTATCAAATATATTAACAGAATTCTATTATGCATTTGTATTCAGTTAAATTTGACTATCTAATGTAATATTCAATTTAAAAAATCCTAATGGATGAGAATATATACATAAAAATATATATGATTCTAAAAGGAATAAGGATGACTTAAGATGGCATTTAAACGAAAGCATTAGTTGCCATCATTTGTATATCACATAAAATATATTTTCAAATATTTTACATGATATACAAATAATGCAGAATACAATATAGACATTCAAGGAGCAGTATATAGATTGACTTGCTAGTAAAAGTACTTCATTTTATCAAATATTATTATTTTCTGGCAGTCTTAAATGATGATGTATCATGAAGTGGCTAAATCAAGCAGTATGATAATGAAATATGACTATATTACAGAACAATGTTGATCACTATCACATTGACAAAAGGCATCTTTTGGCATCTCTTCATCTGGTTTCAACGAATATCCTTGATGTTGCTTGTCAACATATTTTCACTTCTTTTTGTGCTATATTAAAAAAAACGTCATAATAATTATGTATATAACATGTCAAAGTTCATTGTAATATAATTAAATCTATGAGGGTTGGGGCAAAAGTCGTGGCAACTATTTTCTTCTTGTAGGTATGTGAACAAATCACAAAACGTATATGTGTTGTGTGGAAGTTTTGCAGGCATAGTGTGTATGCAGAATAACAGATGGCTCTGTGATAGCGAGGGCTCTGAAATCAGTCAGTTGGTGAGTGTCGTGCGAGATGAAAGTAACCCGTGTTGAGCAGCGTGCTTACATCAAAATAGCCGTTCTCCGAGGGAGAAATGCGATGGAATGCACAATAAATTAGTAGAAGCCCTTGGGAATAATGCCCTACCATATCGTACAGTAGCACAGTGGGTAGGAAAGTTTCAGCAAGGACGTGTGTCAACCAGTGAGCAACATTCGGGACGACCAGTGAGTGTGCAAACCGACTTGGCATGTGCTATCATCGAGCACCTCATGGATGAAAACAGAGCATGGATGTTACTGGAGTTAGAGAGGGCAAGTGGCATCGAGAAACGCACCTCCACAGGATATTGTGAATGAGTTACAGCTATGCAAAATCGCTTTGCAGTGGGTACCGCATGCACTGACGGAAGTTCAAAGGTAGATGCAATATGCTCCGACCACTTTGCCCGCTGGAAACAGGACGACGATCAATTCTTGTCACGAATAATCGGCAATTGAATTTTGGGCCAGGGCATACGAACCAGAACTGAAACGTCAGTCCGCAGAGTGGCGACATTCTGGATCACCAAGGCAGCAGAAGGTCTGTCAGAATCCTTCCTCAGTCAAATTAATGGTGATCGTCGCCTGTGACATCAAGGGTGTCATTATTTGCCACTTTGTTCCTCATGGCAGAATAGTGACTGCACAGTACTACCGGGACTTCCTGGTACGACGTGGCATTCGGAATAAACATCCGGATCTTGTGGACAGTGCAATAATTCTGCACGACAATGCAAGACCACATAAAGCAAAGTGTGTACAGCAGCTACTCTGATGTTGGAGATGGGAAGAATTGGAGCACCCACTGTACTCTCCTGACCTTTTGCCCTGTGACGTTGATCTCATTCCCAAGATTAAAGAACCAATACGTGGTAGGTGGTTTGCAACACGAGAGGACATTGCTAATGCTGTGCGCCAACAGATGACCCGATTCACACATGGTGCGGCAAATGCTGAGGCTGATGGTATTCAGCACCTCCCACATCATTGGCGGCGTGTGGTGACAGTAGCAGGGGACTACATTGAGGGTCTTTAGGCCCAGGTTTGTCATGTCAACTTTATGTGTTATCATTCTTTTGCACGGTGAAGGCCATATTACCCTGTATACTACCGTTATAAATTCGTGTGGTACGATTTTTCAGTGCTATTCATCGTCCACACATGTAGTTAAGACCTTATCCTTTCGTCTTTATATGTCACATTTTCCAACTGGACTGGTATCTTCAAGAAAAAAAATAGATGCCATACTTTTGCCTCAACCTACGTATTTTCTCATTTGTCCATCAGACCCCTTTTTTTTCTACTTGTATGGAAATCTATTACAATTTTTGGACTACATTAAAATAATGAAAATGTTTTCATTTAAACAGAGATGATTGATACTTTTATAATGCAGTTATTGAAGTTTTTCTATTCTAATTTATTGGGATATTTTATTCTGCAACATGTGAGAAACATCATGCATATATGTGACTGACAAAATGTTTATGAAATATGCAGGAACTTTTAATTTGAAAATTTTTGTTTGGAAAGTTAGTGATTTATATACAAGGGTTATTTAGCAAATAAGCAAACAGGGCCTGTGATTTCAATATTTATGGATATATCAAAAACTGGTTGTTTTTATGAATACATTCATCTATTGTACACGTTACATGAAAATAGTTAATCATCTGTTTTTTTCACAAATAGCCTCAGACACAAATGAGGACAGCAATGAATTCTTAAAATATGAGATTATGGCAGTGTAAGGAATTTGATGAAAAAGCATATGCTAAGTTACCGTTTTGATTTTAGGCAGCGTGTGAGCCTACAGTAGGATAACTTGCATTAGCACCATCTAAGAAATCTCAGAGCTGAAAAAGTTTTGTTGACTCATTTCCAAATACTGTTATGTTTGAAAAGAAAAGTCAATTTGGAATGCTGCTTTAAGGCATTGATTTCCCCCTCCCCAATAAAATGCAAGGCCATATACAGAAGCTAACAAATTAATAAGAATCTGAGATTTAAGTTGGGATGGACTACCCTCATCTTCTATACAGTGCTGTCTGCCCAAAAAAAGACCCACAAAGGGAAACACATTTTCTTCAAGCCTCTCACAGCCTCAGCCCTAAACGTTTTACAGTGAAGTAATTGGCTGACCAGTGTATCACCGAGACCATTATCTAAACAGCTATGGTGATTATACCAAATAAGAACCACTTCTGAAATCAGAGGGTTTACTTTTTTGTCAAACAATCCATGTACATCATTTATGCTAGTGTGGTAAAATTGTAAGCTATAATATCTGATAAGAAGGCTGAAATCATTTATATTAAGTTCATTTATAAAGCATATGCTTTTTAAAAAGCATTAGCTTGTATTTGGCAGTTGAAGCTCTTGAATATAGATATCACCACCAAATAATTATATTATGTATACTGATGGCTCAAAGAAGCCTAATGACACTATCTGTTGTAGCCATCACGGCACTCTTGTTACTTTGAAAATAGGTACTTGAAGGTCATACCAACCCTCCTTATATTTAGGGATTTCACAAGTTTCATTATCATCACACAGAGGGGATGTTAGCTAATTAGGAAACTCGGCCTTCTTCTATGGCAATAGTTACATTGGTTATAAAGGCAAGCCAGAAGGGTGGGGGATGCCCTTGAAGTGCATATTCTAAAGTAACAGATTGTCTGTTTAAAATACACTTTTGTTGATTTAATTAATTATTAAGTTAACTCAAGAACCATCTGCCTAAATGAAGAACTATTTTCATGGGAGATTTTCTAAAAAGAAAAATTATAGACTTAAAAATACATTTGCATATCAAACGAAACATGAAAACCCTACCCTTCTCTGGGAATTGAATCCAGAATACCATTGTTCAATGTTTTAATACATGGGTAGGTTCCAAACAGATTCCATAAAATTCTTTATATGTGAAGCATTTAAGTAATGATGCACTTACACTGGCAGCTATGCTATGGAAGAAAATATCTCTTCCACACAACAAGATTCATAACTACTTATTATAGGCAGGACAACTAAATTTCTAATATACGAAATATTGAAGCTCTGTGGAAGACTGTAGGGAACAGTATCATTTTTATTTATTTTATTAAAAATAAATAAGCGTATAAATTATATTAAAATATTGTTACGAATTTTTTATGCATGTAAATAATTTTTTGTCACATTATATTTAAAATTGTAGTAGCTTTTGTATAATGTAACATGAAATGCCTCGACAAAACACTGCCGGTATTTGAAGACAAAAATTAATCATCAAAAATTTTTTTAAGTCTCGTCAAAATCAAATGAAATCATTAAACAATTGTAAGGTAATTAAATTAACAGTAACAAAACTATGGATACCGAGGATAAATGAAAGATTTTAAGCATTATTCCTTGTGATTAGATAAAACTTTCTTTGTTCAAGCTTCTAATCCGCTTAAACATTTTTTGCTGTTATGAATATAGGCTGTCAAAAGTCCTCTTTGTAAGACATTACATTCCGACTTGGTTTTTTTTTTTTTTTTTTTTCCCCTCCCATAGCTGTTCAAGCTCTGCCCTTAAGCCTTTGATCAAAAAGTCCAACCGCGCTGCTCAGTTACTGTGGAGCAAAGCACGGCGTCAGTGGACCCTTCACCTGTGGAAACGAGTTCTTTGGAGCAACGAATGAAGATTCACCTTCTACCGTTCGGATGCGGTGTCTGGCGTCTGCTTGAAAAACGCCTCCTGCCAGAACTCATTGTACCCACAGTTAAGTTCGGCGGGGATGGAATTATGATCTGGGGGTAGTGACTGAACCCTTGGTCCAAGTTCATGGTAAACTGAACACCGACGACTACTCCACTATTATGGATGACAATGTGCTTCCTACGTTGTGGCAATTTTACGGGCTGGACCGATGTTATTTTCAGGCCGACATCGTCAGCTGTCATGTTGCGAAGTCCACCATGGATTGGCAATGGAGTTAACCGAATGTATTAACCTGCCCAAAACCTAGATCTGAACGCTATCGAGAACCTCTAGGACGTGTTGGATCCTCGAATTAAGGGGTGCAATAACCGCTCAATATCGGTGACGGAACTAACAGGTCTTCCCCAAGCCAAGTGGAAGAAAATTCCAATAGCCGTCATACAAGGACTTGTGGAACGCATGCCGCGGAGGGTCGAAGCTGTAATTGTCCTCGTGAAGGCTCGACCATATATTGAATTTGAATAAATTTTGTTTCTCTTCTTATCCACATATTTACTGGTAGACGATTGTGTATGCAGTCTATTCTGTGACTCTGGTCACCGTATTTTTTTAATCTCACTTAATATAACATGCTGTCATGCAATATTAAATATTTTATTCAACTTCTGAAATTAGAAGTATGTAAGTTACTTCCTTGTTGAAGTGACCACTGTGCTTGGTTACCAAAATTGGCAAACGGAGTCACTTTATCTGTAAAATTCAATATTACCAAGGGCCACTTTAACAAAGAAGTACCAATACGAGTAACAAAAATTTTGCTGTAAATTTTAGTTTACCTTTCTTTATTTTGAGCAGTCAAAGAACGGTAATCGGGAAAACATTTCTGAAAAGAGTAAAATAAAATTATGTTAGCAACTGTTTTGAAAATGAATCATGCATTTAAATAGATGTGTATTGAACATAATTATAGCAATAACAGTTTTTACAAGCAGTAACAGAAATACAGGGGAAAAGTAATACATAACGAAAATCATATTTTTATTGTATGCATTTATTGTTGTTGTTGTCGTGTCTATGATGAAGCCTATTCAAATAGTACCATGGGCGAAGATGACAGTTTTGGCAATATGCAAAATGTTATCATCGTAGAGGTTCGGTCTCTTAAACAGGACTCCAGTTTTTAAGAATTCAGCAAGGATGTCTGGACAATCAAAAAATGTGTGCAGTTGTCAATTTTGTGTCCAGGCAGTTATCACAGTTTCTGTAGATTTTCCTACCCTCTCTGTCAAACTTAAATCCTTTTTAATCTCCAGTTCTAAGCCTGACTATAGTTTTGCTTAAGTCGATCTCAGGTGAGCTGGTGCTTTAATGAAATTGAATGTTCCGTCAACTTGTATTTAATCATGGTATTTGCGTCCGAGAGGGTGACGTTTTGAGATTTCGAGCTTCTTTTGCAAGTTTATCTACATTCTTGTTACCTGTAATGTTGACGTGTGCTGCCAACCATTGAAGATTGCAGGCCTTATCTAACTTTTATATCTCGTTTAGGCGAAAGTGGAAATCCGGGAGCTTTTATCCAGGATTATCTGTAGAATTGGTTTTGAGTCACAGAGTCCTTTTGGTTACTCAGAAATGGGAAGCGGTCTATACATGTCAAGTACCTTCACTAATGCCAGAAGCTCGGAAGTGAAGATTATGGTTCCAACGCCAGTTTTGTGTTGATAAATATTATCGTCTGGGGTAGTCAGAAGTACTTCAGAATTCCCATTAGTAATTTTCTCATCAGATGAACCATCTGCATAATCGTGTACAAAGTTCTCTTTCGGATACAGTTCAACGGTCCTGATGCATTTTGCTTTAATGATGTCAATCCATTCCTTTTTATTTCATGGCTCTAGTAGACTGAATACTAGAGTTCGTAGGAAACCTGGAAGGAAATGTTGGCTCTTGGAAGATAGAGAATTTGTTGTTATCAAAGCTGAAAACTGCTATAATAACTTTCTCAAACTGCATAGGAAATGACCTTTCCAATCTTGTGCTACCATTATAGTTTTCAAAGGTTTTCCTAGGGTTGTGTTGTGATACAGCTCTTCTCGTCTTGTTTGTAAATATTATTATATTGTCTATTTATTTATTATATTGTATATACAGTGGATGGACAAAAATATGGAAACACCTTGTGAAATGCATGTTTGAAAAGAAAGATTGATTTTAATGAAATATGTAGGTGGCGCTGGCGTTTTTGACTACTGACGCCACCTATACAACTTCGTAAATGTGCTAAACAGTTCAGTTGTTGTCGGAGTACTGTTATGTGAGGTTGTCATTGCATTATGTCAGAGTTAACAGGTTTTGAACGTGGGCAAATTGTTGGAGCACGTATGGTAGGTGCTTCCGTAAGCAAGGTAGCCGAGGTGTTTAGTGTTTCAAGAGGTACTGTATCGAAGATTTATTCCGCATATTTGAAAAGCGGAAAAACATCATCTGCTAAATCACAGCGCGGACGAAAGTGTGTCCTGAGTGATCGTGACAGACGATCATTAAGGGCAATTGTGACGAAAAATAAGAAGACCAAAAGTTACTGCTGAAATGAATGTTGTGTTACCGAACCCTGTGAGTACCAAAACAATTAGAAGGGAGCTCCATAAACAGGGAATTGCTGGCCGTGCTGCAATTGAGAAGCCACTCATCAGTGATGCTAATGCCCGTAACAGGAAAACGTGGTGTTTAAGTCATAAAGCCTGGACTATAGAGCAGTGGAAGCGAGAAATATGGTCTGACGAATCTTCTTTCACATTGTTTCCCACTTCTGGCCGAGTTTACGTCTGGAGAACGCCATCTCAAGCCTATAATACAGACTGCTTGTTGCCAAGAGTGAAACATGGCGGGGGTTCTGCTATGGTTTGTTCAGCCATATCGTGGTTCTCTGCTAGCCCCATGATAACTGTGTCAGGGCACATGACTGCCAAGACTTATGTGAACATTTTGGCCGATCAAGTTCATCCCATGGAACAAACTTTGTTCCGCGATGGTGATGGTGTCTTCCAAGACGACAAAGCCCCTGTTCACACAGCTCACATTGTCCAGGACTGGTTTTCTGAGCACGAGGATGAGTTGTCCCATCTCCCCTGGCCACCACAGTCACCAGGCCTGAATATTATCGAACCTTTGTAGTCTACATTGGAACGGAAAGTGCGTTCTCGTTATAAACCGCCAACATCGTTATCTGAACTTGCCACCGTTTTGCAGGAAGAATAGTATAATATTCCCTTGGCAAACATACAGGAACTGTATTTATCCATTCCAAGAAGACTGCAAGCTGTTTTGGATGCCAACGGGTTTCTTACACCATATTAAGCAAAGAAACATGTTTTTTTAAAGGTGTTTCCATATTTTTGTCCAACCCCTGTATTTATATATATGTAGTAATAAAATTCCATAATCAAGAATACACTTAAAATTCTAACTGTATGTTCTTTTCATTTTTAATGGCGACGTTATCTTATTTGAAAGTACGTGGAATTAAATCCACAGCCCCGTAGTCAAGTTATTTTTACCGCCTTTTCTACACGTACAGTTATAGAATGTTCTGGAAATATGTAAAGCGAACTGGATTGGCTGACGTCATTTCTTGGAAGCTCCGCCTTTCCAGAGGCTATAAAAGGACTCGCAAAGGAATATCGGGGGCTTTTTTCTTAAATGTCACGATGCAGTAAACTTCATACAAAATATTATTAGTAGTTCTTTTTTATTTACTCCGTATATCTGATTTTGTAACTGCTATTTCTCCTGACCAATAATAAATGAATCCTGTTTTTTAAACTTATCATCTGATAATTTAAGCTACGACTACATTTATGATTCTTCAACAATCTATTTATTCCTGACAAAAGCTGGTACATTACAAGGAGTCGGCAGGATTAGTGTACCCAAAAAGGAAAGAAATTCCAATGGAAGAGAAAGAACTTTTTAAGTGTATTCTTGATTATGGAATTTTATTATTACATATATACAGTGGTGGCCAAAATTGTGGACACTTTTGGAAATTTTTATGTTTTTGAACTTTGTATGCTTATAGAAAACGTTACGTTTCACAAAATGCAAACTTGTATATATCATTTTAAAGAGAATTTATTACTGAATTCAATACAAAACACAAAATTCAATTATTTGCAATACAAAAAAAATTTAAACAATAATAGTTATCGATATACATTAGATAAAGATGATTGCAGCGAGTTATCAGTACTTAGTAGGGTACCCTTTATTTTTGATTACAGCTTCACATCGATGTTTCATTGAGCTGACAAGAATTTTAAGCTCTTCTTTCGTTATTTCATGATGCCAGGAAACAATTATAGCCTCAATTAGTTCCCTTTTATTTGATGGGCGCCTCATTCGGACAAGAGTTTTCAAACCGTGCCACAAATTTTCGATAGGATTGAGGTCAGGACTGTTTCCTGGCCATGGTAACAATTTAATGCTCTTTGTACGAAACCACTCTTTCGATATTTTGGCTGTGTGGCAAGGAGCAGAATCCTGCTGAAAAATAAACGAAGCATTGTTGGAAATGAGATCTCTGATGGAAGGTAGAAGTTTTGGTTCTAGAATAGTGTCAATGTATTTTCTGGCATTCAGTGTCCCATCGATGACATGAAGGCAACCAATACCATCTGCTGACATGCATGACCAAATCATAACACTAACTGGGTTCTTCACAGTTGCTTGAATGCAGTCAGGATGTAGCTCTTCTCCTACTCTATGTCTTACATATTTTCGCCCATCACTACCGAATAACGATATCTTAGTTTCATCACTGCATAGAACTTGTGACCACTGATCATCTGTCTAATTAATGTGTTCCTTTGCCCACTGTAGTCTTTTTCGTTGCTGAAAATTAAGATAAGGCTTTTTTCGTGGAATTCTACCTCTCAGTCCAACATCTGTTAATCTTCTCCTGATTGTTCTTGAACTGACAGAAACACCAGCATCATTCAGATCACTTCTGATGGCCGCTGATGACATTTTTCTATCCTGGAGACATAGTCTTTTTATTCTTCTGTCATCAATAGATGTGGTGCACCTTTTTCGGCCTTTTCCTTCTTTGTTTTTTATTGAATTTGTCTCCTGATATCGTAAACAAAACTTTTGGACTCCAGATGTAGTCACTGAACCACCCACCTGTCTTGCAATTTCAGCATAGGAAAGACCACTTTCTCGTAACACAATAATATTACATCACTTTCTAGGCGTCCAATCTACTCTTTTGTTTGATGTCATTGTTTCTTGACTAAATATTAAAAATTTTTACAAAAATTCCTACTTTTAATTGCAGTGTATAAGAAACAGGTCCTCCTTCTACAGAACAAAGCAAAATAATGAATTGTTTCAAGTGTAAACATGATGTCAGCTTCTACTGGCAGTTACTAACATTTGATTGGTTCTCAGAACAAGAACAGTCATTGGCCAGGAAAGCTAGACATTACAAGCCACTTCATAACTGTGTTTTTTATTTATATTAAAGTACATATAACTTTTTTTTTGTATTGCAAATAATTGAATTTTGTGTTTTGTATTAAATTCAGTAATAAATTCTCTTTAAAAAGATATATACAAGTTTGCATTCTGCGAAACGTAACATTTTCTATAAGCATACAAAATTCAAAAACATAAAAATTTCCAGAAGTGACCACAATTTTGGCCACCACTGTATATATATTATATTGTCTTCTTTTTCCGAGACTTTCCAGGCCACATTCCTGAATTACTTTATTGGTGGAAGACACTGAACCAGTAATGATTTTTGCGGCCTTTGCTTGGATACTTTTGAATTTTCCTAAGACAGTCCTGGAAGCATGATTCCAAGTAGATGAAGCATACTTCGATTGTTTTAATTTGTGAGGTGTATATTGTTCAAAGTGTTCCGGGAAAGCTGCCAGTTTTTACCACAAATACTTTTAATGATTCTTAATTTTTTCAAAGCTCTGTCAGCACAGGATTTTACATTCACAGTGATTCTCAGTTCTTCACCTAAGATGATGCCCGAGTATTTTGGACATGATTCTTTCTTTATGAATTGTCTTCAATATTTAATTTTAGATTCATCAGATTTCTATGCTTCCTGTCTGTTGAAAAGACATAGAATTTTCCGCATTGATCTTGAGTTTTCATCTCTGCGTCTACTTTACGATTTGATTTAGGAATTTCTGGAGCACTGCTTTAGATTCATGAATATCCTTGTCGAAGTGTCAGATCACGGCGTCATCTGCACGGCAGGCCACTTTAATATCTTTGTCGTTGTTCATATAAAATAGGAAGAGAAGGCAGCTCAAAACAGAACCGCGCGGAATGCCTGCAAGGATTTTCTTGCTCTTATATAAATATCCGCTATAGCATACTTTAATTTTTCTGTCCATCAAGAAGTCATTTATCCAGATAAAGGTATGCATTTATTGCAATCTTATCTAAAATGGGCTGTAATATAAACATAAGTTGGTTTATTTCTTATATCTGTATGAAAAATTCATTATCTTTTTTTGTGGGAAGACAGTATAAAATGAATTGCTTCTTTACAAACACAAAAACACAGTTCTAATCCTGCCCAATGGCATCAAAACTGTAATTGTTGAAATACATTGCTAAATATTATATTTAGAAAGTAATGTAAAGTAATAAATTTCAAAATACAAGATAACAAGGCATGACTACCTTAATTTATGATATATTTGGAAATTTTTCCTGTTTTTGAAACATCATAAAAATGTTTTATCAGTGAAGAATTTAGTAAAAAAGAAAACTTTTCTTACAAATAATAAATTTAATACATTAAACAGAAATGCAGAATTCTTACCTACTTGTTCAGATTTCAGATACAGCTTTAAAGGTAATCTAAGCGCCATTTCTAAGAAAGTTAGTTATATTTCATTTCAGATTGAATGTTTATCAATCATTTACTGTATTTGTTAGTTATTTTTGAAATTTAAGAGTCAGAATGCTCTGTGATAGAAATAAATGTAAAATATGCATTTTAATACAGTTCGTGAAAGCTTGCATTACACTTAATGAAGCCATGATCATTGTACTCTGAAAAATTTTTATTGATGAAGAATGCTGATAATTAATAGAAATATATATATATATATGTCAATTTCAGGTCAGGCTGAGAAAAACAGACCAAACTCATAAATTATTTTAGCTTTAAATAATTTTCTACAAAATTGATGTTTTTGTGGTTAAAAGGTACTTACAATTCATTTAGTATAATGCTAAATCTACCTTAATTATTAATACCATCACTCGTATCACTGTATGAAAATTTTGCTCTGCTGGAAAAGTAAATAAATGCAAGTGTGTTTCCCAAAGGTAAAAGCATGTAAAACAGATAAACAACTGTCTTTTTTTAAAATACGTACTTATGATAAATGACTAATCATTTCATGATATATCTGTTAAAAGCTACAATTTATCATTAGTAGATGATTAGAAATGTTTTTGAATATATATATATATATATATATATATAAAGAAAACTGTAAACACCTTTTCTCAAAGATATTTGTTTTAAGTGATCTTTGAGAATAATCACGTCTTATCTGTTTTATTTTACTTTTGCAGTGCATCAAAAGTTTCGTACAGATTTCTAATTATATATTAATGATGATGGTGATAGCACTACTATAAACAGTCGCCTTTGACTATTACGCTTTCAGATAACAAATATAGTTTTCATTCTCCAAGAAAGCATTCATCATGCTGCGAGAAAAATTATTAAAAGGTCAATAAAGAAATTTCTAACTTCGGCTACTGCCAGTTTATCTCAGCCAAGCGCAGGACTGGTTGGCTTTGGCCACATTTAGTAGGCCATTGCTTAAAGTGGCCGGCTATATTACTAAGTGACGGATTTCGAGCTTTTAACGGCCTTAACAAACCTATGAACGTGAAACGCAAAAACCCTTCCGAGAAACGCTTATTCCATAACTAATTTTAATGGCAAAGTATACTCACAAGTTTAGGAAAAAGTCGCGTTCAGCGATTTCTTTGCTTACCTACCTAGAATACTTTACGATGCTGGAGAAAAAGTTTGCGCTGGAAATAGTTTCACGCAAGTCGACCAATCAGAGGAACGTCCTGCTTCTCTACAGTACACTTCTAAGAGACCTTCCAAAGAATAAATTTTTTGGAAAGGTTTCTTAACTTGTTTCGTTTTCGTTGGTCTGTTAAGGTTTTAGCTATTAACAGAAGCAAAAATTTCATTTGCAAAGTTCCCCACCACCAAAGAAGAAAAATCTTTTAAGTCAATCGACTGAACTCTTACCACCTAATTATCGGCAGAGAAATCTGCTACCAATGAGAATAATTTCTGTTCATGTGACCGGAGAATTTAGTAGCTATGATAGCCTCCGATATACTGGTTAGGCTAAATGCTTAGCTTATAAAATCAACGAACACAGTGTGTACTCTCTGCTGAATTAAAAAAATAATAAAAACCTATAACTCAAAACTGCTGGAATTTCGGTGGTTTGTTAAATTTTTACAGCTGTGCTATTGCTTTTATTAAGTTTCCCCTCTTAAATATTCCTCCTTAAGAAGGTCCTTGAATAACCTTTTGATAGAGTTCTACAGTAATTCTTTTCGCGTAAAGAATTTTGATTTACAGTCATACGCTGATCGACCACTTTCGTTTAATCAGTGTATAACTGTATGTTGCTCCATCTTTAGCATGTAAAGCAACTGCAACTTGTCGTGGCATGGATTTTACAGGTTCTTGGTAAATGTCTGGAGAAGAAGGACTTCATACGTAAGCCGAACCCGAATTTTTGAAGGCGTTACAAGAGAGAATGAAAAGGCTTACATTTTAGAAGGCGTATATATCTGTTCTTTAGAATAATAGCAGCATAATTTTAAAACCGGGATTTCATGTAGAGCTACTTCAATTTTGAAAATTTAAATAAAATATTAAATCGAAACAGTTGCAATATATACTTACTGCAAATGCAGCCTGCCACATTGGCAATGGTCGCTGGACTTCTCCCAAGACGCAAGCCATGCGGCCCAGAGCTGCTAATCCCATAACCTGTAAAAATGAGAAAGTGGGTTTTTTTCCCAAGAAAGTAGCATAATAAAAACTGAGCTATAAATAAAATAGCACAAAAATAAAAAATGCATAAAATCAGATACAGTTGAACCTTAGTATTTCAAATCTCGTGAGAAAAGAAAGAAAAAAAAATGAGATAAAAAGGTTTTAGTTCTTGATAAATTTTAGATTAACAGTTTATATTTAGTCAATGAAATGGAGCATACATTAAAAAAATATGAAATATTATCAATGTTTAATTTTAACTTCAAGCTTTCCAACTAAAATTAGGAATCTTATCAAGCAAATATGTCTAATGAAATATATACGAAAGAGAGCTCAAAACTACGCTCTTGTATTTTTTTTAACTTTTAATTTATTTACAGAAATGCAGAGATTGAACAAATACTTCATTTTTCTATAAAAGCTCCTTCCCCTACCTCTTTTTCCTTTAAGCTTTTTAAAGCTTTTTTTTCACCCAACATTAGTAATTGGCAACGTTAAAAATATTCTTAACGTAGTTACAATTCATATGTACTAAATTGTAATCCCGAATTATTTTTAAAGGATCTGATTTAATCTTTTTAATCTTAATTTTTAATCTTTGAGTGCTAAGCAAAAGCTTCTCTTTTTTAGAACACGTAAATTCAATGACATTAATTTTTCCCCAATCTGAAATTGAAAATCGGAAGCTACAGTATCTCACAAAAGTAATGGGACACTTGTGCTTTACAAAAGGAAACTAATAAAATGAATTAAAAGAACATGTAAAAATTTTTTGTGGGTGTGTTTCATACTCAAATTTAGTAACAATTATTACATAACATACATTTTCTCAAAATATTAAAATATTAATTTAATAAAAATTCAATTGTTTTGAACGGAGCAAAAAATGGCTCACATAAGTGATGGAACATCATTAGATACTACTACGTACTACAATAAAAATATTTTTTGGGGTTTTTATTTTTACTCAAAAGCAATTGGCAATAATTTATAAAATCGTCTGCAGTATTTCTCCCCAGTTTGTTTTGGAATTTTTGTGTTTTTTAGTTCCGTGCAGCCATGCTAAACGAAAAGAAACTTTGCCTGAAATTCGAAAATTAGTTATTAATTTGCATATTGAAGTGCAAAATCTATTAGAGAAACTTCTGAAACAGTTAACTTGAGTCATTCAACAGTTTTCAATATCATTAAAAGATATAAAAAGAATCATACGATTCAGGATAAAAGAAGACCTGGCCGACCATCGAAGCTATCCAATGGAATAAAGCGAATTATCGTTCGACATATTAAAAAAAGTCCAAGAATGAGTGCTCCGAAAGTTGCTGCTGATTTACAAACATTATATGGAGTAATTGTTAATTCTGAGACTATTAGAAGAGTAATTCGATCTGCTGGATATCACGGTAGAGCAGCCGGGAAAAAATTCTTCGTAAGTGAAAAGAATAGAAAACTCATACTGGCTTTCGCAAAATCCAACATAAATAAGAATTCTGATTACTGGAATGAAGTTATATTTGCTGATGAGAGTAAATTTAATATACAGTGTCTCACAAAAGTGATGGGACACTTGTGTTTTACAAAAGAAAACTGTAGTAAAATAAATTAAAAAAAACATGTAAAAATATTTTGTGGGTGTGTTTCATACTTAAATTTAGTAACAATTATTACATAACATACATTTTCTCAAAATATTAAAATATTAATTTAATAAAAATACAATTGTTTAGAACGGAGCTAAAAAGGGCTCGCATAAGTGATGGGACACTTACTTTTCCATCAAATATTTATCCAAAAATTTTACTTTTTAAAAGGTTTTAAAATTTTGTTGGATTTCCTTTTACTTTTAAAACATGATTTAATCTTCTTGGGATGGATTCGACTCTTTTTTTTTTTTTTTTTTTTTTTTTTTTTTTTTTTTTTTTGATTTCTGGAGTGATTTTACCCCATTCTTCTTGAAGCACCGATTTTAATTGTTGTTTTGAAATTGTGTGTTTGCGAATTCTTGATTCCAATTCTTGCCAAATATTCTCTATGGGATTTAAGTCTGGAGATTGTGGTGGTGTTTTTATTATTTCCAGGAGCAGTTATACAGCAGCCAGACTCTAACGTTCAAAGCAGTGTGCTTGGGAGTCATTGCCCTGGTAGAATTTAAAATCGTTATAAATGGTTAAATTTTCGTGCCTGAAGATTTCAAATTTTGATTTAAAATGTTCAATGTACTTGTACTGATTCATTATACTGTCAATAAAAACAAGATTACCAACTCGAACGACATACACCCCCATACCATAACTCCTCTTCCACCATGTTTTACTGTTGGCACCAAGCTCTGTTTGTGAAATTCTTCCCTGGGTTTTCTCCACACCAAGATTCTACCGTAAGAACCAAATAAAAACTTTAAACTGAATTTCTTATAGATGTTATTAGCTTTAATCCATAACTATAATTTATCATTTGATCTCATATTAATTTGAGCTTTGCATAAATCTCTACAGACATAAAAAAGAATGTCTGTGTGTTTATGTATTTGTTTGTTCGCGATTAACTCAGTCACTATTATAGCTACCGTCACCAAATTTTCTACAATTCTTTTCTGGGTTCTGGGAAGGGTCGACGTCTACTTTTTTCAAAAAACAAATAACCAAAATCAGAGATATTGATTAAAAATTCTGAAAACGCTAATTGCCGCCCTCATTTTTTTCCGAGTGGCAACAGTCTCGCACGCTGGAGATAAAAATCTGCTTTATTTCGCGAAGTGTTTCCACTGCTCGCTTTCAAATCGTAGAATTTGTTAACAAAAAATTTCCAAGTTTTAAAATGAAATAAAAATAGCATTGCCAAGTATTAAATACATTATTCCCGATTCTAAAAATTCGTGGGAAGCCATTCGACTGTTCCCATCTTCGTACGACTTAAATCAGCCGAGATATTAATTAAAAACTCTGAAAATACTAATTTTCGCACTAATTTTTCCGAATGGCAACAGTCCGGCGCATTGGAGATAAAAATGCTTTATTTCGAAAGGTGTTGCTACTGCTCGCCTTCATATCGCAGTTTATTAATAAAAATTTGTAATTTTTACAAAATCTATATATATATAGAAGAATGACTTTTTGTGTGTTTGTTCGCGTTATTGATTTTTGATCAATTATGATCCATTTTTTGCCACATTTAATCGACTAAAATTGAATATAAGTGAAACACTGGATGGAACTTGAACTTTTAGGACCATTTGATTAGAAAGACGAAAATTATTAAAAACTGTGTGCCACTGTTGCTGATAATTAGTTTATTTTTCTATGGACATTTTTATGTGGGTTCCATATCGCATCAGAGTGAAAAATGTATGATTATGAATCATATTTTTTGCATCGTTATTAGAGAAGGATTACAGCGGTATCGTTCGCTCTATTGTTAGATACATTACTCTCAATCTAACTTAACTGGCATCGGATACTTCCGCTAGTACAAAATAATAATACCGAGTTGAAAATTATAAAAAATACATAGCAATGACTTTTCTGTCTCACTTTAAAAATTTAATCGTTAACAGTTAAATATGTTTTAGATTTAGGTAATGGATTAAGGAAAAGCGCGCGAATGCACAAAGCTCGAGAATATAGCTCCCTTTATTGCTTTAAATCGATTATTTCAAGGCGATTTCAAGATACGTTTCAAAATGTAATCTTAAAGGAAGTACTGTAATCACGGAAAATTCCGGGTACCATATTTCAATGAAAATATCCATTTTGATCGGTATCGAAATCGCTATCGTTATCGCAATTTAACGATGTTTTTGCGTGACATCTGTACGTAAAGACCGAATAAAAGACTCTTTTTCCCAAAACGAATTACAAAACTGATTTAAAATGGGTTCAGAAGAGATTTTTTTGTGGCGTCTGTACGTACATACGTATATATGTACATTTATTTCGCATAACTTAAAAACGAATAGCCTCAGAATGTTGAAATTTAGTATCTGGGACTGCTATAACATGTGGAAGTGCAAATTCCATTTTGGTTGCAATCGGCCGCATTAAAAGTATGTAAATATGTGTTTATATATATCCACGCTGTTACTCGGCTCAGTGAGTTCAGTTTCTTTATTCTTATAGGTTTGTAAATTGTGCATTTTTTGTTTTAAAAATGATTGATTTAAGTTGCCTTTAGCTTCCGGTTAAGATTTTAATGCTTTTAGTTAACCTGCATGTTATAGTTGTAGAATTATTAACAATTTAAAAGTTGTTTAAGTGCGGATAGGCCTAATTTTTTTTACCTTAGCAGCCATATTTGTTTACATTTCAAACTTGGCAGAATAGCGGATTTGTTGCCAATCTAGAGAAACTAAGCTTCGCTACAACAAAGTAACGTCTTCTTTTATTATTGCGAATTAAAATATGCTTAATCCATTCAAGATTATCATTTAAGTTATTAAATTATCCCATATATTGCCTCAGCATAGCGTCCATAGTCTTTTTGTCGAGTGAGACCAAAAATAAACTTTCAGTTTTCAAGTTTGTGCGAAAAATCCGTCTTCTTCCCCGTTGGCCGAGTTGCTTGTTTTTGCATAGAAACTGTAATTTTAATTGTAAGAATTAGTTTCCAATTTTTTAAACTGTATGTGGTGTTTTATGTTTTTCAATATCTTTAAATTTTTAATGAAGATATTTTGTGTTTTTATTATTTTTGTCTTACCGCAAAGTAAGAACTGAATTAATTCAATGAGAAATACATCTCTAATGAAATTCGAAGAAATAAGTGTTTCATATTAGCAGAAAATACTGTCGCCAGTCTGTTTCGGACGGAAGAGAATGTTTACGAGTAGCACATGCGCATTAGGTAAGCAGCGCTGGATCGTCTGTGGAAAGCGGTTTATTTTTTAGTCCAAAGGGGCAATTTGCCCAGAAGGACTATTAATTTCGTTTTGACATTTTGCGTCGATTCACGATAAGTGTTGGTTCGCTTTTCAAATTGTTGCCATCAAATATTATCGC